AGAAACATGACTTTTCTTAGGCGAGAATCCGAAACGCCTGCCAGTCGAAAGGAATAGAATGACGTTGATGGCCCCGTGTGAGGCAGCAAGGGCATAGGGGAAGATCCGCATGCCAGGGGTTGGCTTATAGCCATGGAACTGACGGAAACGAGCCACAGACGTAGGAGTAGCGACGATAAGATAAGCTGAAACAGAAGAGATGAGCCAGGGGGTTGGGTGTATGTGATTATTGCACCCACTAATAGGATACCATCCCATCGCAATCGCAGCCCGCCTAAGGTCATAGTAAGCACGAAAAGGCGCCTGACGTAGCCACTTGTATGCTACCCAACCATATGCGGCGATCGAAACCGTTATCGCAACCCAGATCCACACAAATTGTGAAGCTGCATTCCAGATTCAGTTCCACGGGGCAATCACGGCAGCCAAGGTATTCTAAACTTACCGAACCGCAACCTCTGGCGGCTAGCATTTGTGCCAGAGATCCAACACCACAACCTGAGATGTGGGGTTAAATTAAGTATGTGTGATTTCATGTGCGATCCTCACCCAGCATTGCCATAATATGGATGGTTAATCGAAGCAGGAATCGCAACGACCAACGTGGCGAATACGATTGTAAAGCAAATGCATCCCACTACAAAAACCCTTGCTCCGTTTTTGCCTAAGAAGTCCCGGTGAACGACCTGAAGGTATGTCAATACCGCAATTGCCGTAGTAAACCAAGCTAGTGACCGTTGGGTTTCTTAGACATTGGCATTTGATGAAGTATAGGTCAACATACCGACGCCATTATTCCCGATCTGCATTAAAACCGACTGTCCCGTACAATATGGGCCCGAGGTAACTTCACCTTCGAGTACCCACCTGATGGACAGAACGTGCCCTAGTCCGCAGCTGCGGAACGTCCGATGAGTGATAAGTGACCTTGTTCATACGGGACTTACAGCATGTCCGCAAAAACACTGCACAGAAACAAAACTGATATAGGCTGGAGACCTGGTTCAACGTTGGATGTTGGTGTGTCGTTCCTTCTACGATACTTTTTGTATGTTTGTATCTATTGGGAGGCATAAAAAAACGGTTACTGATGTGCCTGAGCGGGTACAATTGTCAAGGACTCACCAGAGAATAACTGAGAAGTGAAAGCGGAAGAATGAAGGACAATAGGCCAGCTTCGACCACGAGCTCCAGACAATATCAGATAGCAGGCGTGCGACCAACATAAGGGCTCACAATAAGGCCAGCACGCAAGAAAAAATTGTTTTTAAAGCAGGGGGGGTCAGATTTTGAACAATCGGGAGCCATAATGTACACCGGGGGGGGGGACGAAGAGTTTTGAGAGAAAGGACAGGATTTTTTATATGTATGTGCCAGAAAAATGGCGCTACCTTGGGCGTGGCCTCAGCGACCGAAACTTGCCGGTGCATGGCGTGCCTAGCCGGGCGCCCTCACAGAGAGAAGCCTTTTTGGAAGTCGATTAAGGTGGATCGGGCGGAGGCGAATTGGTCTGATGCGCGCGATTGCTAAGGATCTTCGTACCCCTATCGCCAAAGACAGCATCAAGGAACGAGCATGCTCCACTCCCGCCCTTTTGGTGGTTTCCAAACGCAGAAAGATCACCCCGCTTAGCTGCACATCACCCTTTAACATGGGGCGTTGGTCTTACGCCGACCCTCAGGCAGTGCACGGCGCAACTGCACAACACGCGCGCAGAAGATGAAAAAGTTCAGGCGGCGCCCCAAATATGCGGATTAGCCTATTTGAAATTTGAGGTAGATTGCTCTATGCAGTGAAAATGCCTCTCCACGTGGATCTGGACCGCCATTGGATGGGACCTAGCTCTCTATCGGGGATAGGCTGATTGCCGGCGGTGTGATGTGAGAAGGGGAGTTGGCATTTTCAGCCAACCCATATTATTCGGGAGCCCTGAGCCGCCCTCCAAACGATCATATTTGGTGAGATTTTTCCTTCGTTTGGACGTCCCAATTACGCGGCCAGAGATTATTCTGCAGTCGCCTGGAAGCGAGTGGTCGGTTATGCTTCTCAGCTATGGAGGTGACAGTTGAAAGAGTGTTTGACGCATTGCATTACCCTCCACGAGGATTGATTGTAATGTGTGAAGGATGACTGGAGACCTGCTCTCCTGACGTCTTTCAACCTACCGAAAGCGGTAGTGGCCCCATGCGCACGTCACAGACACTCGGTAAGATGCAATTGGGCAACACTGATCAGTTACCCAAAACACCCGTCAGCGTCGGCTGGTTCATGGAGTAGATGGTTGACCGCCGTATATGCGTGTTCAGAGATACTCATGATTACTTCAAGTGCACTAGGACACATCTCCATTGCTCCGTCCCACTAATGTAGGACATAGAAGTTCTGTTACGCGGACCATGTGCCAAATTGCCCTTGACGAAACACCCGCCGGGTCCCAGCCTCAAACGTGAAACGACCATGAGGACCATATCAAAATAATCGATCTAGGTAGAGTGTGGGCTAGGAAATGATATGAACAACATATAAGGAATGACAAACCTCAGCGACAAAAGAACGGGATATTCCGATGGCACCGGAGCCCCTGTCAAAGGCCACGTGGATTTGTGACTTTGGCCGCTCGGGATGGCGGGAATTTAAGGGGGATTTGGCATTGCGTCATATCGTTCCCGCTACTCTGTAGCGGGTCATGGAAGCGTAGACTGAATGGCCGTGCACGATTATTGGTTGTACCCCTTTTTTACCTCAGCTTTCTGACACACCATATTAGCTCATCACGGTTACCGTCAGCTAAACACTGGAAAACATGCTCTACAACCTGACCCCCTCGCTTTTTGAATACCTCCTGTCTTCTCACGCCTCGCACTCCCTTTTGTATTCCGCGTGCATCGCTCTTTATGCTATCGACCCTAATCAATTCCCCCCCCTCTTTCGAAGTCTGCTGTGAGTTTTTGCTAGGTGTCAATAACATCCACCAACAATTCCCCAATCCGTTCACAATCTTGCGATCACTTGAACATCTCCCCCGATTTCAACTGCTTGCGCTTTGCATGTTGGTTTCATGGTTTACTTAACACTGTGACTTGTGGATACGCCCCATGTGAACATTTGCGTACGATCGTGTTTGAACATACCGTAAGCAACAGCCCATGCGATTTTGAATCATCCGCCCCGGAGGTTCGCACCCACTGTTGCACGCTTCCCACCTCTGACCATTTTTAGAGCAGAAAGAGTTATCACCAAATACAAATGAGCAAACAAGTGTCCGAAGACAATAATGTGCGGAGTCAGAACCAGAATAGACCCGGGTTCATCATCAGCGCAAAAAGCGAAAGAAGTGTTGGGGCCACTAGCCACCAAACTTGTTCTAAAGACAGACGACACGGTTAACGACAGAGGGTAAGGATGAGATCGAAAGAAGTGTCGATCGGGTACAAGACAACGGTAAAGGGATCAAGCTGAATAAAATAGCACACTCGAAATAGAAGAATGGGGTCAAGATTGAGTGCGATAAGAGCAGAGCGCTCGGCGAGTGCCAGGCTATAAACCAGCCAATCGACAGAATTTCTTGTGAAGACGAGAAAAAACGTTGGAGGATGGTTGTGATGAAAGCCAAGGCTCTCAGGGTGTGCCGAGACAAAGCACGTAGACTCCTGTTCACTGAAATCCCAATTCTCCAATCCCTTTTAAAGTCGAAAGCCTAGCCGCTGCGTCCAGCAGACACAAGGCATGAAGGCCGACGAAGGCACGAAGCCGAAGGCCAAGGACGCAAGGCATGCAGGCTGAAGCGCAACAGTAGGCGTGAAGGCACAGAGTCGAGGCCGTGTTGAATGCCTCCGCGTTACAGCGGACCAAATGAAGAAAGGGGTTGACGTGTAGTACAGTCACAAGAGAAACGAGTAGATGAAGGCAATCTGCTCAGTGGGCATGAGACAAGAAAGAGGGCATAGATGCAAATGCACTAAATGGGCACACTATAAGAAAAAAGAAGGCACGAGGCCAACGTGCCCAGCAAGCGAAGCACAAGAAAAGAAAGCACGGTAAGCTTCCAGTTGGATGACTTCTCATGGCCACCGTTGACTTGTCAGCGGGATGAGTGGCGGATATTGCCGCTTCAGGCGGGATTTGCGTCATATCAAACTCCCAGTCATGTATCTAATTTCATTTCAGTATGCCCAGCAGGTAGAGTCAATATTCCAGGAAAACAGGACCAGATGAGAGTACGCAGAATCGCTAACATTAAATGAAGGGATGTAAGCAACAGTAAATACATAAATTCGAGCCTACAAATATTTGTCGGGTAGTAATATTAAAACATAACATTGATCCAGGCTTAAGCTCTGCGCTGAGCTATGTACTATATGGCGGGTTTATAATGGTCACCGGAATGAGTGGGAAGAAGCGCGGATCAATTAATCTATATTGCTTATAACAATCGTTTGGTCGCTGTTCGGTGAACCAGGGATGGGAGAAAGAGAGCATGGATACATGTGAATGTCGTTTCCGCTGAGGCCGGGAGGCGAGGAAACTTGAGTCACTGAGGGAACGCTGCCATTAGGGCGTTCAGGCGTCCACGTTGGTGGGGGAATTGGAATGGTTACGGCTGAGTGTCGAACCCCATCACCATCCGTAGGAGTTGCTTGTGAGGTCGAGGTTTCAACATCTTTAAAGGAAAGAATCTCCGAGTCAGGAGAAACATTGTTCTTTTTGGGTGAGAATCCGAAACGTCTGCCAGTCATAAACCATAGAATGACGTTGATGGCTCCGTGTGAGACAGCAAGGACAAAGGGGAAGATCCGCTGGGCAGTGTTTGGTTTATACCCATGGAACTGACGGAAACGAATCGAGGATGAAGGCGCGGTGACGATAAGATAAGCTGAAATAGAAGAAATAAGCCAGGGGTTTGGGCTTGTATGATGATCGCACTCACTAATAGGGTACCATCCCATGGCAATCGCGGCCCGTTTAATGTCACAGTTGGTACGAAAAGGGCCTCGAAACAACCACTTGTATGCCACCGTGCCATACATGGCAATTGATACCAATATCGCAAGCCAGTTCCACACATATTGAGAAGCTGCATTCCAGGTTCAGTTCCACGAAACATCGCAGCAGCCAAGGTATCTTAGACTTACCGAACCGTAGCCTCTGACGGCTAGGATTTGTGCCAGGGAGCCAGCACCACAACCTGGGACGTGGAGTTAAATTATGTATATATGAGATTTCATGTGCAATCCTCACCCAGCGTTGCCATAATATGGAGAAACCATCGAAGCAGGAATCGCAATGACCAACAGGGTGAATACGGTTGTAAAGCAAATAGATCCCGCTGCAAAAATCTTTGCTCCTCTTTTGCTTAACGGGTTTGAGTGAGCCACCTGAAGGTAAGTCAATACCGCAATTGCCGTGGTGAACCATGCTGGTGACCGATGGCTTTCTTAGACACTGGCGCTCGATGAAGTATAAGTTGACATACAGACACCGTTATTCCCGATCTGAAGTAAAGCGGCCTGTCCCGTACAATATGGGCCCTCGATCACTTCACCTGCAACCACCCATCTGATGGACATAGAATGTCCTAGTCCGCAACTGCAGAAGGCCCAATGAGTCACAGCGAGTGATGGATGACCTTATTCACATCAGACTTACAGCATATCCGCGAAAATACTACAAAGAAACAAAACCGATATAGGCTGGACTCCAGGTTTAACGTTGGAGGTTGATGCCCTCTTCCGGCCATGGTACTTTATGTATAGTTGTCTCTATCGGGAGTCATTAAGGAACTATTACTGGTGGGCACAACTACGAAGGGCTCACCAGGGAGAAAATGAGGAGTGAAAGCGGAAAGATAAAGGACATTAAGCCGCCTTCAGCCACACGAGCTCCAGAAGATGTCAGATAGCAGGCGTGCGATCAACAAAGGCGCTCACGATAAGACCAGCACGCAAGTAGAAATTGTTCTTAAAGCAGGGGGGATCATGTTTTGAACAGTCGGTAGCCATGATGTGCACTGACGAGGGGGGCGGAGAGTTTTGAGAAAAATGACTGGTTTTTTATACCGCTAAGCCTAGCGTTAATCTCAGCGATTGAAACTTGCCGATGTGTGCCTGGCGGGGCACCCTCACAGAGCGAAACCATTTTGGAAGTTCGATCGGGTGGATTGGTCTGATCTAAGGATCTTCGCACTCAGGCTCGATGGTTTCTAAACGCGGAGAGATCACACTGCTTAGCCGCACATCGCCCTTTGACATGGCACATGGACCGACCCTCAACCGATCGTGCAATAGACACGCTGACGATTGGAAAGTTCGGGCGGCACTCCAAATATGCGAATAAGCGCATTTGAAATTTGTGGATTCGCGAAGGTGTTCTCTCGGCATGGATCTGGATCGCCGTGATCTGCCTCCTTAGGTAGGACCTAGCTCTGTATTAGAAGATAGACTAATTGCGCGCGGTGTGGTGCGATAAGAGCAGTTGACATTTCCAGCTATCCCATATTATTTGGGAGCCAGCCACCCAACCTACTGCATTTGGCGAGGTTTTCCCATCGCCCAAACATGAGGTCTACGCGGTTGGAGATTATTTTGCAATTGCTTGTAAGCGGGCGGTTCGGCTACGCCCCTCGGCTGTGGGGGTGACAGTTGAACGAGTGTTTGACTCTTTGTATGAAGACTGACTATAATGTGTGAAAGATGACTAGAAGACATCATCTCCTGACGTCTTTTCCTACTGAAAACAGTAATGGTCCCTTGCGTACCTTGTAGGCGCTCGGCAAGGCTTAATTGGGCCACGCTGATCAAACACTCACCAACATCGGCTCTGACTCGTGGTTCACGTCCGAGTAGCATCGGCACTATCGGGGTATGGCTGACTGCGGTGCATGTACGCATGTTCTAAGATGCTCACTACTTCCGGTGCGCCAAGACACAATCCCATTGCTTCGCCGGCTCCACCCGGCGGGGAGTAGAGTGGCGCTACAATGGCCCTTCTGGTTATTGAACTCGGTTAGCGTTTGTCAGCTCCCTTAAAGTTGACACTCGGTTGCTCTGTTGGACTGACAACACGCTGTTCTGACCACATCAAGTCACTATTGAAATAGAGGTTCTCTTTTCGCGGACCTTGTGTGCCAAGTCGCTCTGGTCATGACTTTGGCGCAATGCTGGAAACCACGACTAACAGTGTGGCTTAATCATTCTTGATTTCGACATCCCCTAGTCCACGCCGCATCCATGTGCAGTCAGGCGATTCCTCATGACATACCACACAAGTTACAATTTGGCCCTTTCTTCCTCTACACCCCCCTTGGTGAACGTTTGCACAACATTGACCCAGATCTGGGGCTCAAAATATTCACACCATGAATGTCCATACGCCTCTGAGGGCACACTCCCTGGCACCTTGCCAGTTGGATCGATTGCGATGCGTTTTGCATGTTTGATATGTCTGGTGAGATAATTGGATTCTGCGTAGTGAATGATACGATCTTTCGTGCCGTGGATGACTAGGATGGGAATTGATGATGGTATGGAGGGGAGGAGAGGGCGAGTGTCTGTGTTGCGGACCTGAAATGGCAATGACATCAAGGATCGGGTACCAAGAGAAAGCGGGTTTGCATACCGATAAGGCCTGGCGAGCTGCACGGCAATAACAAGATGAAGGTGAGTCACCCTCAAGCATGGGCATACGACACAACTCTACACACCAATTTGTTTCGAGGGTCTTTTAAGGATCATTGAAGGCAAGAGCTTTTCTACTTTCGCTTTTCCTTCAGGTGTCCTTAGAAAATCAGCATCGTAGCCAAGCTCAACCATAGGTCTCGCAATCATCATTTTCCCCTCATCCGTAAGTCGTACATCAACCGGTGGAGGTTTGGCAAGATATTCAATGAACTCCGGGTCACCGCGAGGAATTTTTGTCATTGTAGCTGCGAGAAGAGCATGGTGTATCCGGAAAGGAACTGCACTTGGTGTGGTAGAAGCGAGGATGAGGATTTGTTGGAGAATAACGCCCCCCATCGACCCGCCGCATGCATCTATGCCTCTGAATCCGAGATGACCGATGAGGGCGATTGCATCTTCTGCCATCGATAACGTAGTAATTTCCTCCCGCTTGCTCGTCTTCACTATAGAAGCTCCGAAATCTCTACATGAGGCCGGTCTGCATTCGTGGGCCACCAAGTTATTCATGTAATCCATACCGGTGATCGAATACCAATACTAACGCAGCGTATGAGAGTGAGCGCAATGCCATTAGAAAAAATTAACAACCTACCAGGTCTCAATTTACTGAGAGGCATGCTGAGGGTTTCCCAATCTTCATATCGCCCCGACATGCCATTAATGAGGACAATGGGACGGACACCTCTCTTCAAGTGATCGGCTCCTAGTATCTCGTACCCCAACTGCGCTCCATTCGCAAGAGGAAAAATCTGGGGTGTCATGATGTTGGTGGAATAACCGGACCCCGGCAAGGCTATTCCCGGATATTCCCATGCCTCACCGAATTCATGTGGCCGACAGCTGCTGTCAGCAGAGCTGTCAGTGTCAAAGCTCCGAAAGCAGGCACCCTACATCAAGACCACATATTGGGATGACTGGTAAGTGCGAACGTAGTGATACAAATGCTCGTGTCGGTATATACTCTACTGGTATGGCCTGCTCTTAAATTGGACCGTCTAGTGTGTAGAAACTGTGCATTGCGAATTGTGCGCCCAAGATAAGGCCCCGAACAATATGGAAACCCTGAGGATTTACTCCTTTGCCTCCCTATCCATAATCTCTTTCGTTGTTTCTATTCTAGGCGGATGCTGTCCTTTCCTCTCTTCAGACAGGAGCAGTGATTCCGGCCCAGTATCACTACCCTCAGGGCCAACCTCCTCCTCTCCAATCATCCTACCAATATTATTAAGACGGAGATAATCCTTCATGGAAACTCTTCGCACCAGGTATTGGAAAAGCACAGTGGTACACATGGAGAGTAACATCCAACCAATGAGTACAGCAGCGTTGAGGCCCAAGTGGTTCTTGGTGTTGAAGATGAGAGTACGGGTCGCTTGTGCAATTTCTTTCGGTAACTCACTTCATACCACCCTCTACTTCTTCGTTTCAGTATTGTCGCTACTCTGGCCCACAGCGCGCCATCATGCAAGTAAACGCATGTCATAGCTTGGATACCGCTCTGCATGCCCTTCCTCCTGTCTGGGCCACCCTCCTGTTTGAAGTGGTTGCGTATCTGCAACGCGATGACGTTCGATCTGACTCTGACCTAACATCTATATCATACTTCCCCTTCCCAGGTGAAATCCGCCAAACAAGACGAGGGACCACTCTCCATGTGCTTTCTTCTTCCAACGTTCAGTAGCAATGGTGTCCTTCTCATTCTCCTAAGTCATCATGAACTAAAGTGTGCTGTGGCAGAGACGGCGTTGATTGTGATGGAATTTGAACCAAAGTGGCATCATTCTCTAGACGGGCGTCTTTTCAAATATTTCAATGACCAAATATTAGGAGCCCAATACTCTCATCTTTATCCCCCGATTGCACCCGCGTGAATGGCTCAATATCCATGAGCGTGCAAGGAAGAGGTCTGGGCAACACAAGGAAATAATGATGTCAACTCAATAGGTCAAAAGGAGCAATTACATTCATATGCCAAGAATCCAATCCGGGGCCTGATAATAGGATGCCAGTAAACTCTCGCCTCCGATTGCTATAAGTTAAAATCAAAGACACCAGTTAAGTTAGAAACCAGTATTGGCAGTTACGATCCTTGTAAATGCCCCGAAAAATTAAAACCAACATGGTCATACCACGCAAGTGCTAAATGGAGGGGGGTACACGTCTGTCTAAATTGATGAATGCGATCATCCCTCTCTCTCCACCAATGCTAACATGATTACCGTGTTCCGCGATTGGACAGCTGGGCTTGAAGTAGTCGGGTAGCCAACAGATGTGCAGGGCAAGGTTTTCGCGCTTGATGCAAAGAGCGTTATGATCAAGAAAGAGATGGGTGGGTGAAGATTTGTGGAAGGATGTTGAAATTGGGTTGGATAGGTCGCTTAATTTTGGAAAGCTGAAATGTTTTGTCTCTTGCTGACCTCGGATGCGAAGTGTTAAGGCATCGGTGGAAAATAGCATTTGATGGGGACGAAAGATCTCATTGAGCTGTGTCTGCTCAATGCAACTCCTGTCGGCAATGTCCCAGGCACACACTCTGCCGTCCTTGGAGGCCGAAACAAGATGGCGTCCATCAGGCGAAAATTCCACACAGGATATGGTGTCAACATGACCTTTCGTTGCCTTTGGCCCTCGAGTGGGTAATTCCATCGTTGCATCCCAGACATGTACAGTGCCATCCCAAGATGCCGAGGCCAGATAACAACCATCTGGCGAAAAATTCACGGAGGAAACCCAACCAGTATGCCCTTTCAGCTCTCGAAGAGGCGCTCCTGTTGCCACATCCCAGATGCGCACTGTGCTGTCGTCTGAGGCCGAGGCCAGATGATGGCCATCCGGCGAGAAATCCAAGGAGTTGACACTATCGGTATGTCCCTTCAGCTCTTGAAGCGGGACTCCTGTTGCCACATTCCAAACACGTATGGGATTATCCGACAAGGCTGAGGCCAGATAACATCCATCGGGCGAAAACTTCACAAAATGGACGACGGAGGTCCGTTCCTTCAGTATTTGAAGAAGTGCTCCTGTCGATGCATCCCAGATATGCACGTTGCTATCATCTGAGGCTAGATAACGCCCATCTGGTGAAAAGGAAACGGACAGGACAGAGATATCATGGTCCCTCAATTCTCGGAGGAGCTCCCCTGTTGCTGTATCCCAAACTCGCACAGTGCGATCGTGCGAGGCCGAGGCCAGACGAAGGCCATCAGGGGAAAATGTCACAAATGTCACCGCGTTAGTATGCCCCTTCAGTTCTCGAAGGCATGCTCCCGTTACCGCATCCCAGAAACGCACAGCACAATCATCCGATGCCGAGGCCAGATGAATGCCATCTGGTGAATATGCAACGGAATTGGCCCTATCAGTATGTCCCTTCATTTCCCGAAGAAGCGCTCTCGTCGCCGCATCCCAGATGCGCACGATGCCATCCGCACAGGCTGAGACTAGATGACAGCCATCTGGAGAAAATGCCGCAGAGCGGGGTTTACTTGGGCTGTGGATTATCCTCACTTGCGGTGACCATGATTGGCTGCTATCCATTTGCTGAGAAATAATACGGCATTCAACAGTCCACTTCTTCGGAAATGCTGCATCCAACGCGCTACCTGATGGAATAAATGGATGGCTACTTCCAAGTATAGATAAGGACGAGGCCGCTAATGCACTCCGGGATCGCTCGACTAGACAGAGCAGGTCACGAATTACGTGACTTATACTATTGACTGCTTGAATACCGACCTTCAAAATGCCAAAGTGAGCCATACGCCAGTATCCAAGTAATTTTTGACGTACTAGCCATCGCTGTAGTTCTTTCATGCTTTGGCACGCTTGGTCAATTTCACCCATGATTGACATTGCGGCAATCCAGTGGAGAAGCGCCGGGACAGCGTTGGAAAGGGCCTTCATTATTTCACCATCGTGGGGCTCGTCCAACGTACAAAGGAGAGTGACCCAATGACGACACACAAACTTCAGCTGCGTCGTCATCAGCCTCTCAAACTCAGGTTGGAGATCAGGAATTTCTGTATCAAGTTGGAAACGCCATAGCGTTGGCAACTGATCCAGCACTGCACATTGCCCTAGCGGTTCCAATGCAAAAAGCACCGTGTCTTTACCCGGAGAGAGCTCAAAAAATGGATCCAGGTCACTTTTGAGCGAATCATAGGAAGGGCGATGCAGTGTAAGAGCACCTTGCAACTAGTGGATACATTAGACAGTTCACGACTCCGACTCCAGCGTGATCCACGTACAGATGATTCCAAGAGGTGTATGATACTCGATATTGGAGTGGTGAGATTATCTTGAAGTTGTTCCCATGATGGGAGGATCTGAACTAATTTACTAGAAAACAGGAAGTTAGCGGGAGTTGCCCGTTCAGTGGAATAACCAATTGATTTACTAACTCGGTGAAATCGTTTGGGAAGATCCGTGCGCCTTGGGTTCCATAGAGTCCATGTAGGCATTCGTGTAATGTCCGTTGCAATGCAGCAAGGAGTGCTTGAGTGGATGTGGAGATTTGGAATGCGTTGGGTGGGGAACTGTGATAAGCGGACTGATAGCTCAAACCTGATCAGTGACGGTGAATGACAGCACGCAGGCCATTCTCTCACATGGTGATGTTTTACAGTATCGAGGACAGACTTCACAGCCTTCCTTAGCCTTGAATCTGCCATTAAATCAGCGAATTTTATGATTGTCTCTGGATTAGCATTTATGTCTTTGGCAATGTGCGAATATGTCAGAACTGTGATGCGGTCTCGTCTCTCAGCACCGATTGTGGGATGGTTAAGAGACCCAGTCTCATACTTTGCCCCGAACCTCCGCAGCAACATTTCCTGAATGACGGAAGCGAAAAACCAACAATTTTCCTACATGTAGTCAGTGGATCACTGATGAGGACACCTGCTCGGCTATTGATGCTTACTTTGGTTAGCTTGTAACCAGGAGATTCTGCTGCGATTGCGTACAGAACTTGCGCAGCCGCGATCAGAGGAACGGGAGTGGGGAAGATCATGATGGCCTCTACGCCCGACTTCTTGTTGGTGAAATCAAGAAGGTGGTCGAGTCTACCAGAAACAGCAGCCTATCAATAGTCCCGCCTCTTAGCTGCGGTAAAGACATCGAAGGGTCCGCTACATACCGTATCTATCGCGCGTGACGTTCCCAAATCCCGTACCCCAAACAACAACAAGGGGACTTGGCGATCCCGTCTGCGATCCAACCGAAGGTAGAACTCCCTTCCATCGGCTCGAGTGACATGCATGATGAGAAATCGATGCGGCACCCCTTGAAGATCGCCATATCGTTGAACGGACACGATCCTGGCATTTGCGGCACGACGACTATTGAATAAGCTCTCGCAGAACGTTCGCACAGAAAAGATTCGATATGGCCTCGAATCCAAGCATTCGGCGAAGAAAGCGCCTGCCGACGCAATGCTTGCAACTCTCTTCCTTAAAGACGATGTGAACGATGCAGAAGATGTAAAAGATGGGGCGATTGTGGATGAACCATCGGATAAAGTGGGTGTTGACCAGGAAAATGGGACGCTAAGTCGGTCACGAAGCGTTGTAGAAGATGTGTCATTGGGAAGACGAGGCTCGAGTGAGGGCTCGATCCCCTCATCAAGCTTTAAAACTCGAATGAATGAGGATTCAAGACACCATAATATTGATTCTTACTTCGAAGAGAAAATCGTCGACCGAGGCAGGTTCTGGGAAAGCAGGAGGCTCGGTCGCTACCGGCACAAAGGTTGGCGAAGTCGAGCTTGAAGCGAAGGAGGGGATCGTGTCATGGAAATATCCTTCGGGGCCACGCTGAGACGGTAGTAACATAGCGATCGCTTCTGATAAGGAGGTCGATGGCTTGAGCAAGAAGGACCCCCAAGGCTCTGCAAATAGCAGACTCACTATCGACGGAATTGGTGACATTTTCGGTGGCATTTCCAGCGCCAGCAACAACATTTCCGGAGTCCTGGTGGTTTGGTGTTGTTGCAGCGGACGTAATAGAGGTCTGGGCCAAGCCTTCGTCCTCCGGAAGAACCAATGTAGGAACGTTCATGTTTCTAGATAGAAGAGATCGAAGGTGGAAGATGACTTGGAAATGGAACTAGGCGCGCGCTAGGCTTGTCAGCATTGTGACAAAGCCATCACCGTTGGGAGCCGCAGCGGAGGGAAAAAAGAGCAAGGTATCAACCTACTGCAAATTATCTGAGACCTTAAGTTGCGTGGCGTTGAAGCCGTCCGTCGCCGAGGTGTCCGATCCCGTCAAAATTATCTATCAGGAATGGTGGGAGAGATCAGCAATGTCTACGAAGCAGAGGCGAAGATTCGAGAAGACGTGTGGAAAAGGTGGGGGGTATTAGGGAAATGACCACGTGGATGCAGGCAGGGAAAGAAGCTCTTCATTTGCTTGTGAAGGTTGGACTTAATCCCATTGTGGAATAGTACTGTGTGTACCGAAAAGGTACAGATGGGCGGCGGAGCAGATGCATACCCACACCATGACTTCTCAACGGTTCATGAGGACGCCCGAGAAATGCGCTTGCATGTAGTTTCCGGGTGCAATCGAGCAAGACGTGTATCGGACGGCCATTGGCAAGAGGTTCCCAAATCGAGCATCCCCAGTTGAAGGCAATTGAACTTATTGAAGCCACAGCCATTCGTATCGGGCAGGTCCGTCGGCCCTGGACCCAAATAACACCCAACAACTAACCGCAACTAACTGGAGGATTTGTTGTGCGCACTGAGCACGACATACCGTTGTTCATGTTCTACTTTTTCGTTTCAGTATCGTCCGTCCTGCTGTACGGTGTCATGTAAGCCTGAGGCATGTCGTAGCTTAGATGCCGCTCTTCCTCCTGTCTGGGGCCGCCCTCCCGTTCGAAGCAGTTGCGTTTCGATTTGATTCTATATCGTGCTCCCCCTTCTCAGGCGGAATCTGCCAAACTAACAAGACGACGCAAGGGGCCACTCCATGCGCTTTCTTTTTCCAACATTCAAACGTGTGTTCTTCTCTCCTCAGTCATCGACTAAGCTATAAGCGTGTGCGGAGGCGGCGTGAGATTCGAACCGATGTGGCTGTTTTCCCCTAGGCTTCAGGCTCTAGACGGATCACCTGCTCTCCTGACGTCTTTTCCCACTGAAAGCGGTAGTGGTCCTTTGCATACCACGCTGATCAGCTGTCCAAAACATCGGCTCTGAGTGGTTCAACCGAGTAGCATCGACATTATCAGCGCATGGCGCGTACTTTGAGATGCTCGCTACTTCTGGTGCGCCATGACACATCCGGTCCATTGCTTCGCCGGCTCCACTCGGCGGTTGCAGTGGCGTTGAGTGGCGCTTCAACTTGGCTACAATGGCCTTTCTGGTTATTGGATTCGACCTCGGTTAGCGTTTGTCAGATTAATATACACTCTCCACGGTTGCCCTATTGGACTGGCGGCATGTACATGCTGTTCTGACCACGCCAAGTCACTATTGGAATAGAACTTCTCTTACGCAGTCCCCAAGTCGCCCTGGTTCTGCTTCATTGTGACTTTGACGCGATGCTGAAAACCACGACTAAGGATGAGGAGAGTGTGGCTTAATTCGCGACATCCCTCCAGTCTATGTCGCGTCCATGTACAATCAAGCGATTCCTCACGACATGCCACACACATTACAGTTTGATCCTCTCTTCCTCTACACCCCCCTTTGGTGAATGTTTGTACAACATTAACCCAGACCCGGGGCTCAAAATACTCATACCATGAATGTCCATACGCCACCGAGGGCACACTCCCTGGCACCTTGCCACTTGGATCGATTGCGATGCGTTGTGCATGTTTGATATGTCTGGTGAGATAGTTAGATTCTGCGTAGTGAATGATACGATCTTTCGTGCCGTGGGTGACTAGGATGGAAATTGATGATGGTATGGAGGGGAGGAGAGGGCGAGTGTCAGTGTTGCGGACCTGAAATGGCAATGACATCAAGGATCGAGTACCAAGAGAAAGCGGGTTTGCATACCAATAAGGCCTGGCGAGCTGCACGACAATAACAAGATGAAGATGAGTCGCCCTCATACATGAGCATACGACACTGACTCTACACACCCCCAAGATAAGGCCCCCAGCAATATGTAAATCCTGAGAATTTACTCCTTCGCCTCCCTATCCATAATCTCTTTCGTCTTTTCTATTCTAGGCGGATGCTGTCCCTTTCTATCTTCGGACAGGGCTAGTGACTCTGGCCCAGTATTACCACCCTCAAGACCAACCTCCTCCTCTCCAACCTTCCTCCCAGTATTAAGACTGAGATAATCCTTCATGGCAACTCTTCGCACCAGGTATTGGAAAAGCACGGTGGTACACATGGAGAGTAAGATCCAACCAATGAGTACAGCGGCATTAAGGCCCAAGTGGTTCTTGGTGTTGAAGATGAGAGTACGGGTCGCTTGACCTACGTTACTGTCCGTGAAGGGTTTATCAGTGATAAGCTGGAGGACTGAAAAGGGGACGACGGTCATACTAGATTGGAAAACCATATCCGTATCTGTAAATCCACGGCTCGAGAATAATGGGGAGAGATGCGGTGGAAACATTCGAAATGATCTAATTATTCCCATCCCCACCAATGAGAAAGATAACACCGAATCAGAGAAAAGCCACTTACGTATACCACCAAAAAATACGTGATAAATCGTTGTGTGAGCAATGTCACCATCGCTTCAGTCCCAAGTCCAAGTGCCGTCATGCTCAAATAAGTGATCGCCCAAAAACAAAAGTAGCCCCCCGCGTATGAATACCTATGATTGACGAACCAGGGAAGCGGCGGAGTAGCGGGGAAATGTTGATTCAAGGCAATCATAGACGAATGTGTGAGTTAAAGTGAGTGATGTTAAATATGATAAAACATACTTCGCTCCAAAGGGGACTTTAAACGTCAATGAAACCATCGAATAAGCAAGAGACAGAGGGATATAACATAAAGTAGGAACCGCAATTCTCAAGATAAGAAGTTCTTTGATTTTAAGGTACGGTTCGATTGCTTGACGGGCAGCGTAGCCTGCCATGGTCTGATAATGAAAACGTCAACGAGATCGGTAAAAGGGGAATAGAATGGTCACGAACGACTGTAAAGGCAAATACAATGACTAAAATGGACCCGACGAGCGTTAGTGCCGAAGCAACAGGAGCACTGCATCAAAGCTCAAATGAAAAAAACCGGGAAATGAGGAAAGGTGGAGATGAATAACTCACCTATAAGGTCTCAAATTGACCATCGTAAACCCAACGCTCGCACTTAATGTTTGTGGAGCTCTCGCCACATTTCCCATCATTGTCCCATTCGCACCATAATTCCCAAGAAATTCTCCAACACTCACAGCCCCAAACCGAGTTATAGTGGAAATCAATAATGATTGTGTATAAGGAACGATGAAATTGGCAGAGGCAAGTTCGTTTCGAGCTTGGGTGTAATAGACTGTTATGATGGCGGAGGAGTTGTATGTACTGTCGCCCGTTAGACGGGCGAGTGTTAAATTCTGGGAAGCCAGTGGTTGTACTGTTGCATAGTTTGGTGGCGGTGACGTTAGTGTTCATGGTACATTTACACCAGGGAAAACTGGAGGAAAACGCACCAACAACGGCTACCCAAACTTTCTCCTCCAAAACCCCTCTCTGGATCTCTTGATCTTCCCACCGGTCACCGGCGATTGGTATACTCCATCCCAACTTAGCCTTCGTCTTCGACCTTATGTTCTCCTCAAAAGCATTCTGGAAAAAGAGGCCGATTTCTCCCTTTGTTCCGTTCGAGTAATAGTCTTTGTTTATAAACCAGGAGGAGAGCTTGTCGGAGTAGGAACGTTGGTGCGCCAAAGAGCCAAAGAAAAAGGGTCTGTGAGTTGGAATAGCGGGAAGGACAAAGATCTCAGGTTTTAAACGGAGTCAAGAGAAGGGAGGGGAGCATACACCGCTATCCACATGACGAAGATGAGAAGTACGACGGTCGCCGCTATACCTTTCATGTATATTTGACGCTGCATCGCAACTTCGGGCGACCAGACTACGGCGAGATGGAAATTATGATCAAAGATTAAGCGAAATGGACGAGGCCAATGATGCAGCAGAAATGGGTAAATGAAACTATTAAATACGCGAACCAGTTGAACGAAAGCTTACATCCATGCGAGAACGGCACTAATTTTGGCTTAGAGAGCTGTCCCGGTTGAGCCTTTTCCGACTTGTGCTTCGAACCGCCAGGGACATCGCCACTGTCGCTCTTTGAAAGATCTTGGACTTGTGTACGGTTCGAATCGGACGTGCCTGGTCTTTTGGATTGGAGTGTCATCGCCTTACTATTTGTCAAGCTCTAGCTCTGCTTCTAAGCGTAGCCACTGCTGACGGTGCGAGAATGGAGGCGATGAAAGAGAGTGCTGGTGATTGCACGGTAGAAAAGCTGTCCTGCGCCAAAACGCAGCCTGAGTGCTCAACGAGACAAAGAAGAGCAGATGAGCACAAGATGAGCAGGCTGGTGAGAAGAAGGGAGCCGAGCAATCACGGCCGCCTACCGGCTCCAGAGTAATAAAAACAATGACAATGATGTCAGCCATGGTGCGGTCTAATCACTTGACACGGATTTGGATGAAGCAAGGCATGCCGAGAACCGGCATGGCCATGGCCCCAGTCTCAAGTGGCGGTTGTTCCCGGGGTTTGCGTTATCGAGTTGACAGACCGATCGCACTGGGGCTTTGGTTGCATGGATGCACATTTGATGCACAAAGCCTGCATACACACTAAGCCAAGAAGATGCATCCTCGGGTTGTTGCCGAGTGGTGTACTGGGACCGAGGGCGAGCAAGCCGATTAAGTGATCGAATCCGACGCATGAATCAAGAACCCCAATTTAAGGGTTTACGTAAGCGTCACCGATTCGACAATGGTTCGTGGCAGCTTTCTCTTTTTTCTTGTCTTCTTATACATACTTTACAGATTTTACCTTTAGGACCCAATGAGGGCGGTATTGTGGCGGAGTTGGCCGAATTTTGTAATTGGAGCGAATTGTGGGACCTCGCTTGTGACCAATCCAGTTCGCACTAGGCTAGGATATGGTTTGCGCTTACGAAATTTGACTCCGACCATGTCCGGTTATCAGACGATATGGGAAAGAGGTCGCTGTTTTTTGCTATGCGATGAAGTTTGCGCGCTATCTCGAGGACACCCAGGTGCGTTGGAAAACTGCACAGAGTCGGTATTGTCGTATTGACAACTTGCTTCCCCCCGCCAAGACTCCGGAATGGAAACGGGCCTATATGTGGGCGCTTTTGGCTAACAGATTGGTTGCGGGAAATCGACTACTAATATGGCTTCTCAGCGACTATCGCAAACTTAAGAGATGTGTTCGCGAAATTTCCGGTGTCCAGCTGGAGCGCTCAAGGTCTGGCCCATCTTCACGAACCTCGGTAAGATCAGGACCGACGGCTCCAGGGGTAGGACCAGACGGCGTAGTGGTATCTAGTGCGCGAACGCCAAGGGGTTCTCCGTTGACGTTCCGGGGCGCCAATCCACTGCCTCCCGCCTCTGAACACTCCTTCACCCCGTCTAGAGCAGGCAGAGAAGCGGATCGGTTGAGCGACAACAGACTCCCCTTCCCAACGTATGGCTCGCACGGGCACTCGCCACCTTTGACGAGAATGTCTTCTGCGCGGGAACCAGAGCCTACGTCTCCTGTGACGGAGCTACCACCGGCTTTGCAGGACCCTGCAGATGGGAGAGTACCCACTTCATCTGGGCAGGACTGGCAGACAGACCCACGTAACACGTCTAGGCGCCGTCTGAGTCTGAGTGCACAAATAAGTACCTACTTTCGGGTATCCCCTGCAAACGCTCGTCATCGAGCCTCTACCACTACTGGTTAGACCATGTTCTCATTCTATATTTTGGCGCTGAATCATTATTACTCACTCGCATATAAAGGCACATCCGTACAGAGGACTTACAGCTTAAACGAAATATATCACACTTTGCCGCCCCCAGAGCTACGTTTTTTCGATATTCTAGACAAAGAGTTGGATAAAGTCGAAAAATTCTACCTTGAAAAGTTAGAGGAACTCGTCATATTCTCGTCCTTGCTGAATGAGCAACTGCGCGAACTCGAGGCTCATCGTAAAGTTTATCACGTGTGTAAAGGCTTGCAGATTCTCTGTCGTTCTTGAGTTGACGATAGAGGTAGGAGGTACAGGACAATTCCGCTGCAGCCTCCCGACATTGGGGTCTTGTAGGAGATGCGTTGCATATTATCACCACTTCACAGGGTAGGACACGGGCCGAGGGACCCTCGGACGAGTTTTCTAGTACCCAAGAGCAAATCAGCGGAGCTCCACCCCCTCGTGATCCTGATCTGTATCATCAGAATAAGAAGAAACTCAAGAAAGCCACTCGCGAACATTACCGGTATGTTCTTATTCCAATCGTCAGATTTCCGAACCTATTACGTTCATACAGTGGAATCGAACTATTGAATGATTATCGGGTGCGCAAGGTCTGGAGCTAACTTCATCCTGTGTGTTAACATCCGTGTAGATTCTCAATTTAACTGGGTTCCGGAAAGCGTTGAAGAAGTTCCAGAAAGTGACCCGTATTCCCGCACAGCAGCCCTACATGACTGAGAAAGTGATTACCTTCCGTCTTCCCTAGTTTGATGCCCGTTCATTGGTGCGGTGATAGGTTGACAACTGCGCATTTGCATCAGAGCCGAAGATGCTTGAAATGATCTCCAACATCGAATCTTTATATGCTTTGCATTTTAGTAAGTGATGAATGCTCCACCGCGCACTCCAGAAACTCAATTCCCCGTCAGCTGATGGTGATAAGAAAGTTGCACGAGAGAGACTTCGAGACACGATGCAGGGAAACCCCCAACACACTCGATCTTTCCGGTCCGGATTATACACCGGACTAGGCATTGCTGCGCTTTCTCGCGTGATATTCCTAAGTACTATACGATATAATCACATTGCTGACTTCAACTGACTCGGTCGTAGGCTTCCAAGAGGAGACTCGGGAAGCAATCCCTGCTTGGGCTGCGCTTTTACAGGTTTATGGTGGATTCCTGCTACCGGTCGTTCTGGCATTACTTATTGGAGCCAACATGCTTGTGTGGAAACGACATCGGATCAACTACGGTTTCATCTTCGGTAAGCTCACCACAAAACTTATCCTACCCATATTTTGACACCCTGTTATGTTGTTGCCAATTCACCGTAGAGCTTGATGTCCGGACAATGATCGATCCTCGTCAATACGTCGAGATACCCTCATTCGCATTCCTTACGTTATCCTACTGTGCGCTACTCTCGTTCAGTCGTGTTGGCAACATTGCTGCAACTACCTGGCCATTAGGTACTCCCCGTTTTTATCCGCTTAATATTTGCCATTTGCTCATACTTGCGCGACAGTCTGGCTTGGATTCACGATTTGTTTTGTTCTGAACCCGTTGCCTATGTTCGCAAGATCATCAAGGCATTGGTTTTTGAAGAAATTCTTGACATTGTTCGTCTCTGGTCTCGTCCCTGTCGAGGTAGGCATCCTCTTGTTGGGAATTAGCCTACAGACATGCTGAATGTAATGGGGTGTCCATCTTCTAAGTTTTCAGGCAAGCAGAAATGTCACTACTCCCAACGCAAATCAGCTCTGATCCATACTTTCGCAGACTTCTGGCTCGGTGACCAATTCTGCAGTCTTACATTCTCCCTCGCTTCCCTCTGGACTCTTGCATGTTCAGTCCACAATGACTGGGCTCCCGATAGCTATGAAAAATGCGGACTTGCGCATCATTGGCAGACGCCGTTTGTTTTGAGCTGCATGCCGTCGTTGATACGCTTTGTTCAATGCCTAAAACGTTATTCCGACAGCGGACTTCGCATGCACATGATCAATGTCAGTCTGACTCCATCGTAGCAGTCATTTACTTGCCTGGTCTTCTGATGTGGGTACCCTCAGGGCGGAAAATATCTATCGAGTGTGATGTACTATGTTTTCTACTACCTGTGGAGGCACAACGGCGCAAAAATCGGAGACACTGCCTTCATACTGCTTTGCCTCAGTGGATCAGTCATGTCACTCTACACATCGGCATGGGTACAGTTTATCGCTGGTTTTGCATTTCGTCAAGCTCTCTGATCTGAATGTCACGTTCCCTAGGACCTGCTCGTAGACTGGTCCTTACTTGATCCGATGGCGGAGTACAGGTTCCTCCGCACCGAGCTCTTATACAGGGACTATATTCCGGTGCGCCACCAGGCCCAGCTATGGTAACTTGCTCACGTTTCGTCGGACAGCGTTATTATTTTGCAATCGTGAGCACTAAGGCAGTATTATTACTGGATATGTCCTGATGGTAGTTGCTAGGTATCCAACGTGCTTATTCGTTTTATTTGGTTCTCTTACTTTCTGGTGCCTTCGGGGCTGAACATCACGCCGAGAACGTTCATTGCCGCGTTTCTTGAAATCCTTCGCAGGGCCCACTGGAATATCTGTGCGTCCCTGGTGCCCCATCTGTCTGAATTTGTAAACTTGACATTTTGACACATGAAGACCGTCTGGAAAACGAACAGCTGGGTAACATGGACCAGTACCGGGCAACGCGGGAGATTCCACTGCCGTACACCTTCCAAGATGAAGGTGAGGACGACAATCGAGCCTCGACTGGCTTGAAAAAGGCCTTCTCGGGACGCCTACGGGACTTCAATCTCCCATCTGTGCGTTTACCGCAGATGAATACAGGGCACATCCGCGAGGTTCCATAAGGCAAGCTTGTATGAACTAACTCTTCGCTTTGCGGACGTTGCGTGTGTAGATTGGGCATCTGTGTTGATTGACCGAAGCATGCAACTAGTCATCACAAGCCGTGCAGTGACCACTCACCCAACTATCATGTGTAACCACAAGAGCTTTATGACGGCGTCTACTCTCTCTCTCTGCAGACCCACGTGTTCCTCTGAAACTGTTCGTATGCGCTATAAAAATACTCTTTTTTTGTAAATAGAGATTCTTAAAACGTCTGAGATATTAGGGACTTAGATTTGACCCGATTTCCAGCCGTTTCTGGATAATCACAAGACCCGCCTCAACAATAAATGTTTTATACTATACTGAGTATAACACGCTACTTTACAACCGCTATCCTGATATTTCTGACTTTCCATTGTCTTGCTTTGTTTGATTTATGTAATATAATATAATTTCGATGGTATCTGTTCTGCGCGGCTGGGCCCACCCGAACAGGGCATTTTCAACAGGGGGGCCCCTACCACCACACGCTATGATGTAAGCTGTGATCAATGGTCGAGCTTGTAAGGAATTTGCTCCCAGGTTCTTTTCGCTGCTTCGCAATTCTTAGATATGTTATGTATTACCTAATTTTCGACAGTGACACCCTCTGATTGTACTTCGGAGACACCAAAGGTGAAGCTGAAACTTTGTGGATCTCTGCAATTATCACCTCAATCTTGGCGGAGGTCATTAACGGAACAACTGAGTCATAATTTATCTACCTGGTCCTTCACAAACTGGGAGTCACCCATGCTGCGTCGCTATGCCCTAGTCCGCTCTTGTATCAGTTCAGAGCTGAAGGATGTGGCGGTTCATCCCTGGGAAATAGTGGGTATGTTGCGAACCTCGTCTTCCTCATTTTTCAGTAACACATCTTTCAAGTCTTGAAGAGCTCTATGCTCGTCCTGGGCCAAGGCTTGTTGCTGACACAGTCAAATGTTAGACATACGGGGAATTATATACTCTAACACATTTAACTCTAACATACGATTGATTTTAAATGTTTAAGTCGCTTCTCTCTCTCTTCGACCAAGGCCTTCCCTAGTTTTTATACAGGGTTGCTATGAATGAACAACCATATTATTTTCGCGTCCTGATGGTGTTTTGAAGGACTAACCCTGGCGTGTCCATATGGAGGTTGGAGACTCCGGAGGTATAGCATTGGTTGCAAATTGCCATATGAAGCTATTTCGCGTAAGGAACGAAAACAGCCCATAAACTAATCCTGAGGGCTCAATGGTATGGGGGAAACTCTTTTGATGATAGCAGATCTTCTCTCATTGAGTTCTGAAGAGGTGGGATGAGGAAGGTCTGTGGATCGATCTGAGTGAAATAGCACTTACGAGGGTTGCAATGGGTAGAGTCCAAACAAATAATACCACGAGATTCAGAGGTACAAAAAAATGACCAGGAGTAGGAACTAGTGCAATAAACGGGCGGGGTGCAGTGAATAATGGGGCACTGGTTTTCGATTCGGCTTCGACATACGGCTGGGCCATGTCTAATAATTCGACCTCATGAAAATTAACGCATTCATGCACAGGATCCGGTATCAATAGCAAACCCTAACCAAATGCTTGCGATTTACTGGGCTCAGGGCACCGGTATGATGGATCTTTCTTTTGATCACGTTGAAGGGATTCATAGAAGGTAAGAGGACTGATATCGTCTTCAGGAGACCTCGCATTCGGAAGATTAGGGCCACTAGGCGTCTGCATCTGCGCCTGCTGATAAAATAATCTCAGTGGGCAGATCTTCTATGCAAAAGATGAAGCTTACTCTCAGAGGCCCTGTCATGTTGTGAGAAAACTAGCGATGTATAAATGCTAGACAATTACACGTTAATGGTCTAATATGACCAAGAAGTACGATTCACCTCTGTTCACGATAGTGTAACTGGGGAGAGAAAAAACAGTCGCGACGAGTGGCTTTTAAGCCTACAACGCCGCCTATCAACAAGAAGAATAAAATGGGAATAGTGGACAATCCTAGGTGGCTGATAGGTCTGTGCGCCACTATAGTGGGACGTCGACCTTTTCTCTAATACATGTCCCTGGTCCCTGTCGAGGTAAGGAAGAACACAGGGCAGTGGAATTTGGGCATACTGAGTGTATGGACTCCGGCGCATGTCTCGGCTTGCTCAGCCCAAGGCAGGTTGGGCCCGATACCTCCTAGACGCAAAGTGGACACTCCAGTATAGATCCGCCATCAGAGCTGTCGATCTCAGCCTCGAACACACTGACCAGGTTGAAGGGTCCTGAGTGCGACATGATATCTTGGTCACCTGAAGCTCCCACTCTCGGAAACGATTTGCGGGCTCAAGCAGCGTCAAATGAGAACTTGTTGAGTAAACAAACACATCCACTTTGACGGCATCTTTGTGATGCGCGCGTCTATCACGTCTCTATTGGTTCTTCCGGAGGAAAGCCCGGCCCAGACCTCTATTACACCTACTGCAACAATGTCAGGCCATCAGAATCCCGGGAATGCTGTTGCTGGCACCGCTATCGAAAATCCCATTGATCCCATTGATAGTGAGTGAGCTATATGCAGTGCCTTGGGTATTTCGTGTTCCAGCCTTCTAACTCCTTATCAGAAGCGATCTCTATGTTATTGCCGTCTCAGCGTAGCACCGCTGAAGGATGTTCCCATGACACGATCCCCTCCTTCGCTTCGACCTCGACTTTGCCAGGCTTTTTGCCGGCAGCCACCGAGCCTTCCGCTTTTCCAGAACCAGCCTCGGTCGATGATTTTCTCTTCGAGGTAAGAATAAATTTTACGATACCTTGAACCCTCACTCATCTGAGTTTTAAAGCTCGATGGAGGCATCGAACCGACACTCAAGCCTCCGCTGCCTGATGACATACCTTCTACAACGGCAATATCACCTCGTGGCCGACTTAGCGTCCCATTTTCCCGAACGCCCACTTTATCATCCACAATTGCCCCATCTGTTGCATCTTCTACGTCTTTTACATCGTCCTTAAGGAAGAAAGTCGTAAGCATTGCATCAGCAGGCGCTTTCTTCGCCGAATGCTTGGACTCAAGGCCATATCGAATTTTTTCTGTGCGAACGTTTTGCAAAAGTTTATTCAACAGTCGTCGTGCTGCTGACGCCAGGATTGTGTCCGTCCAGCGATATGGGGATCTTCAAGGGGTGCCGCATCGATTTCTCATCCTCCATGTCACCCGAGTCGATGGAAGGGAGTTCTACCTTCGGTTGGATCGCAGACGGGACCGCCAAGTTCCCTTGTTGTTGTTTGGGGTGCGGGATTTGGGGACGTCACGCGCGATAGATACGGTATGTAACAGACTCTTCGATGTCCTCACCGCAGCTAAGAGGCGGTACTACTTGATAGGCTGCTGTTTCTGGCAGACTCGACCACCTTCTTGATTTCACCAACACCAAGTCCGGCATAGAGGCTGTCATCGTCTTCCCTACTCCTGCTCCTTTGATCGCAGCTGCGCAAATTCTGTACGCAATCGCAGCGGAATCTCCTGGTTACAAGCTAACCAAAGTAAGCATCAATTCTCGATCCTGTGTCACCATTAGTTGATTCATCAGCTACGTGTAGGAAAATTGTTGGTTCTTTGCTTCCACCATTCAGGAAGTCTTGGTGCGGGGTTTCGGGGGGGTGTATGAGAGAGGGTCGCTTAACCATCCCACAATCGGTGCTGGGAAACGAGATGGCATTAAAGATCTGGCATATTCACACCTTGAAAAGCAAATCAATGACAAGTCGGAGGCAATTCTTAGATATGCCAATTTAATTGCAGAATCAAAGCTGACGCAGGCTATCAAGTCCGTCCTCGACGCTGTAAAATATCACCATGTGAGAGAATAGTCCACATGCCATGCTATTCACCATTGGGTAACTGATCCAGTTTGAGCCAGAAGTTTGTTTATCACTATTTTTCCCTACTCAACGCATCTCAAGTCTCCTCATCCACCTGAGGACTCCTTGCTGCACTGCAGCAGGCATTACACGAACATCTACATGGGTACTATGGGATTCAAGGAGCACGCATATTCTCGAACGGTTTCACTGAGTTAGTAAATTTGTTGCCAACTGCACTTTTCACGGATTTCCGTTAAACTTTTGCTTTGCAGTGAATTAATTCGGATGCTCCCATCTTTGGAACATCCTCAAGAAGATGGCATCATCACTCCAATATCATCTATCATAGGCATCTTGGATTCATCGGTATGCAGATTATGCTGTCGGAGTCGTGAACTGTCTAATCTGTCCACTAGCTACAGGAGGGTCTTATACTGCATCGCCCTTCCCCAGTTACCTATGATTCATTCAAAAGTGACCTGGATCCATTTTTCAAGCTCTCTCCAGGGAAAGACATGGTGGTTTTTGCATTGGAGCTGCTTGGACGATGTGCAGTGCTGGATCAGTTGCCAACGCTATGGCATTTCCAAGTAGATGCAGACATTCCTAATCTTCAACATGAGTTTGAGAGGCTGATGACGACGCAGCTGAAGTTTGTGTGCCGTCATTGGATTATTCTCCTTTGTAAGTCGGGCAAGTCCCAGGACGATGAAATAATGAAGGCCCTTTCTGGCACTGTCCCGGCCCTTCTCCACTGGATTGCGGCAATGGGGATCATGGGTGAAATTGGCCAAGCGTGCCAAGGCATGAAAGAATTACAGCGATGGCTAGTACGTCAACAATTACATGGGTACTAGTGTATGGCTCACTTTGGTGTTTTGAAGGTTGACATTCAAGCAGTCAATTGTATAAGTCACGTAATTCGCGACCTGCTCTGTCTAGTCGAGCAATCCCGGAGTGCATTAGCAGCCTCGTCCTTATCTATACTTGGGAATAGCCATCCATTTATTCCCTCAGGTAGCGCATTGAGTGCAACATTCCCAACAAAGTGGACTGTTGAATGCCAGATTATTTCTCATGAAACGAATAGTAGCCAACCATGGCCGCAAATGGAGATAATCCACAGCCCAAGTGAACCCCGCTCCGTGGTATTTTCTCCAGATGGCTGTCATCTAGTCTCAGCTTGTATGGATGGCATTGTACGCATCTGGGATGTGGCGACGAGAACACCTCTTCGGGAAATGAAGGGACATACTGGTGGGGCCAATTCCGTTGCATATTCACCAGATGGCGTTCATCTGGCCTCAGCCTCAGATGATCGCACTTTGCGTTTCTGGGATGCAGCAACGGGAGAATGCCTTCGAGAACTGAAGGGACATGCTGGCGTGGTGAGATCTGTGACATTTTCCCCTGATGGCCTTTGTCTGGCCTCGGCCTCGTACGATCACACTGTGCGAGTTTGGGATACAGCAACAGGCGAGCTCCTCCGAGAATTGAAGGACCATGATAATTCTGTCCGTTCCGTTTCCTTTTCACCAGATGGGCGTTATCTAGCCTCAGATGATAACAACGTGCGTATTTGGGATGTATCAACAGGTGTACTTGTTCGAACACTGGAGGAACATGCCGACTATGTCTATTTTGTGAAGTTCTCACCATATGGATGTTATCTGGCCTCAGCCTTGTCGAGTAGTACCATACATGTCTGGAATGTGGCAACAGGTGCCCCGCTTCGAAAGCTGAAGGGACATACCAATGGTGTCGAGTCCTTGGATTTCTCACCGGATGGTCATCATCTAGCCTCGGCCTCAGGTGACTGCATGGTGCGCATCTGGGATGTGGCAACAGGAGCGCTTCTTCGAGAGCTGAAAGGGCATACCGATCGGGTTTGGTCCATGAATTTTTCGCCAGATGGTTGTTATCTGACCTCGGCATCTCGGGATGGCACTGTAGGTGTCTGGGATGCGACAATGGAAATACCTCCTCGAGAGCTGAAGCCAATGAAAGGCCATGTTGGCACCGTCTCCTGCGTGGAGTTTTCGCCTGATGGCTGCCATCTTGTTTCAGCCTCCAAGGGTGGCAGAGTGCGTACCTGGGTCATTGCCGACAGGAGTTGCATTGGGCAGAGACAGCTCAATTTTCGACCCTACCATATTTTATTTTCCATCGATACCTTAACACTCCGCATCCAAGGTCGGAAAGAGACGAAATATTTCAGCTTCCCAGAGTTGGGCGACGTATCCAATCCAAGTTCAACATCCTTCCGCAAATCTCCACCATCCCATCTCTTTCTTGATCACAACGCTCTTTGCATCAAGCGTAAAAACCTTTCCCTGCACATTTGTTGGCTACCCAACTACTTCAGACCCAGCTCTCCAATCGCGGAACACTATAACCATGTTAGCATTGGTGGAAAAGAAGGGACGATTGCATTCATCAACTTGAACGGACTTGTGCCCCCTGCCGATTAGCACTTGTGTAGTATGACTGAGGTTATACAAGGGACTCATTGTAACTGCTAATACTAAATTAGCTGGTGTCATCAGTTTCAACTGTCGATGGAAGGTGAACCTATTCTGAATTCTATTGGCTTCCTGCTATTACGCGACGATCAACCAGCGAGGACGCATGGCATATATATGGATCGATATGTTGTATGAGTCCGTCCATGATGACCAATCTATGATTATTCGATTCCCCATGAACCCTGGCCTGCCCCTGCTGGAATGGCCTTCGAAGCCTCGATCTACCCATCAAGCGCTAATCAATATCGACTATTGGCTGCAAGGTAAGAAACCTCTTGCGCACTTCCGGCTCGTCTCTAGTGGCGTGTGCGTATCAAATTGCCTCAGTACTAAACCTTGTCTGGTGCCCACGGTATAGTAAAGTCTGCAAATTCTTCGGCAGGCCAGTTAAGTTTGGTGGAGGTTCCCATGGGCTTGGAGCAGCAGCAACTACCAGATTCGACTTACTCCTTGCGCTTGATTAGATTGCACTTACGAGGACAAGAAACGAAGGGGCAAAATTAAAAGGCCAAGATACGTATGTTCCTTCTAGTATTTCAGTGCCACTCTTTGGCGCAAATATATAACTGGGCTCCTTATTTTCGGCTCATACATATTAATATCGATTCAAGCAGAAGGAAATTTGTCCAAGCTGAACAGGCTGACCGTTCATGCGCGCACTGACGTTGCTTCGTTCCGAAAGCATAGCTCGGAAACGATGGCCAGTCTCCGACTATCCGGACTTGTTTCCAACTAGAACTGGCTTCAGGCATATGGGGGTGCGTGGACCAAGTAGTAGAACGAACAAACTAAAACGAAAAAGTGAAGGTTACGACGGTATATCGTGGCATGGCTCTGTGCGCACGACTAATCCTTTTCTCGCGTGGCGCTTCCAATGCATTCTAGGAATGAGCGGTTCAGTTGTTTGGTCTGAAGCTGAGAAACCTCGGCTAACTCGATTTGGGAAGACCTATCCGACCCAATTCCAGCATAACCCAGCTTTATCTCTCTCCGCATCATGCAAGCGTGGACGTTTTCCTACGTGTTTGTTGGACTTTAAGCCCTGTTCTCCCATTGCCGAACACGTTAGCATCGGGGGAGAAGCAGGGATGATTGCGTTCATCAATATTATTAGCTATTACGCCACTGAACCGACTGGCGAGAATTCTTGGTAACATACTGACATCATCATTTCCACGCCAACGTCGGTCGAGTTCACAATGTCTCATTTTCTGATTATTCGGTTCCTGCGGACCCTGCAGAACGGCTGCGAAATGAATCTCCTCACCAAGTGTTAATCGATATTGACGATCGGCTGCGAGGGCACAGATCTCTTCCTTGTACGCTCTTGGATATGCATTTGGTAGAGTGCACATGCGGAACTGCCTAGGGTACCTATGGTAACGCACCTAAAGCCTATCTCTGGTGATGCAACGGTCTAATGATCTAAACCAACAAATGCCTTCGCTAGCCGGTCATCAAATCTACGTGATCTTAGAGTAATATTTGGTGAGGAAAAATATGATTCAAGTGACCACGGGTTTGGAGCAGCATGCAGTGGGTCTCATCACAGTGGCGTGTCGGTGGAGTCGACAATCACATACATTGTGGGGGTGATCGATGCTCGACGCCGAGGGAAAAAGCTAGCCGGTTTGGTGAGCTTAGGAACGATTAAATGGAGTGGAGCTTGGGGGTGGCATGGGCCAGTGTGAGAGTTGCATCGAGCGGTGGGGATGTGGGTGCAAGGACATCAGTTGTGCGTCCGTCCATTCATCGGTGCAGCCTGTTCGTCCCAAGATCATGGAGCGGCAGTAGCATGCAGAGGAAAAAGGAAATGAATATGGGTTAGCGTCCATCTTGAAGCGTGTGTTGGGGAACGAATGGAATGGTAAGATAAATGCATTCCTGAAGTGATTAGTTTTGAGCGCAGCGCATCGAACAAAACCCGTTTGCACCGAGCACCGTCCTCTTCGTTGTCTCGTTTAGTACGTTCCGCTCAGGAGGTGAAGGGCTGGTTTGAATTTGAGGCTAGATCTATATCGTGTGTGGTGCGTTGCGTGGATTGGGTACGGATATAGCTCAAGGATGTCTACCGTTGGACGGTGGCCAAGGCATAGGCACAATTATAGATTGCGGGTGCGATATTGAGGAGGAAGGGGAAAGGATAGTTGTACAATCGATTGATTGGGTGATTGAGTGTTTGTCGCTGCAGGCGGAGAGACGGAGGGAAAGCACGGACTATCACGGATTACGGTTAGTGCACGCCAGGCCAGATAATGTTCTCGGATTTAGGGCGTTGCTGAACGCTACTCTTCGGCCATTCGCGTGGGCGCAATCCAGAGATAAAGATGAGAATCACAGCCAATGCCATCTCTGCCTGTACCGCACACACTGTGGTTCAAGAAGAAAGCACATGGAGAGTTGCGTCGTCTTGTTTGGCGAATTCCGCCTGAGAAGGGGAAGTATGATATAGATGCTAGGTCAGAGTCAGATCGAACGTCATCGGGTTGTGGATACGCAAACAGGAGGTTGAGCGACATCCAAGCGACCACATGTGGTTACATGATGGTGCACTGTGGGCCAGAGGAGGGGACGGATACTGAAACGGAGAAGTAGAGGGCGGTGAAGATGAACAGTTGCTGCAGCGAAGTGCAACCACTACTTATCAACCGGGTGACCGTGTTCGTTTAAACCTGGTCCCATCGTCAATCGAAATTTCCATAATAAGCGGGTACGACATGGCCCGCCGTGTAAATGCAACACGCACTTAGCCGCTTGCATCGTTGGCAAGTTGTGAAACCGCTCCCCGGGAAAATACTTGGCGACCTTTTCGACAAAGCCGTTCGTAGTGTTCATCATGTAGCTGAAAAAAGATTCTGGGAGCAGGCTGACGTCTTCAAAGTCGATCAAGACTATTCTTTCCGACACCACAAGGAAGTTGCCGACTGTGGGATCGGCCTGAATGAAGACGGACTTCTCCATGCGGGCGGTGGCCTAAATTTAGAAGGAGATTTACTCAGCTGTCTGAAAATACGTAGCAAAGTGTAACCGTAACCCTATTCACATATCTCTCAACGGCACCGATGCTTGTGGCGGGCTGGCCCGCCCCCCAATTGGCCAATCGGCACATCGGGCGGAGCGGGGACGCGACGGAGCCAATCCAAGGCATTCGCAACCGCGCAGTAGCCAAGCGCATGCTGACTGGGGTTCGTACATTCCAACCAGGTTCCAATGGTGGGAGCATCGATGAACTCCGAAACCAGGTATGCGACATAGTCGTGGGTGAAGTGGGTGATGACCTTCGGAATGATTGGTGCGTCTGGGTCATCTCGTTGCGTCTTGGCCTCGTAGAGGAGCGATGGATCTCCAAACTTGATAAAGTAGTCCCCCCAACGTAGGTTATGGTTAGTGGTGTCGCTTTCGAGAGCCTCGGCGCTAACTGCGACGATTGAACCACAAAATGGGTCAAGGGAGTCAAAGGACATGTCGAAAGAGCTTGACCCATTCGTATCCAACTTCTTCGTTTCAGTATCGTCCGTCCCGCTACTCTGGCCCACAGTGCGCCATCGTGTCGTAGTTTGGATGTCGCTCTTCCTCCTGTTGCGTATCCTCAACGCGACGACGTTCGATCCGACTTCAACTTAACGTCTCTATATCATACTTTGCGGAATCCGTCAAACAAGACGACGCAAGGGACCACTCTCCATGTGCATTCTTCTTCCAACGTTCAGTATCAATGGTGCACGCGTCCTTTTCATTCTCCTAAGTCCCCGTGAATCATGAACTGCAGCGTGTGCGGCATGGGGCAGAGATGGCGTTGGTTATGATTCTCATCTTTATCCCCCGATTGCGCCCACACGAATGGCCAAAGAGTAGCGTTCAGCAACGCACTAAATCCGAGAACATTATATTCATCTGATGCGTGCACTAATAGCAATCTGTGATATCTACCCTTTTCTTTTATTCGCGGTCAGACTCACAACTCGAGTACGAACTGTCACGCTACTGTGAGTGAAGGCGGAGCGGAGATGTGTACATTTAAACTCCTGAATGTTTCGCACTTGGAATACTACGTGGACTCAGCGGTGCACGCAGCCTTGTCCTGCCCAATTCTCTTCCTCCAGCTCATTTCCGATCGTGTTTCCACCTGCAACGACGAACACTCAATCACCCAATCAATCGATTGTACAACTCTCCTTTTCCCTTCCTCCTCAATATCACACCCGCAATCTATAATTGTGCCTATGCCTTGGCCACCGTCCAACGGTACACATCTTTGAGCTATATCCGTACCCCTCTTCATTCTCTTCCCATCACAATCGAACCCTTTTCGTTTAGGCAGCTGCGTATGTGCCCCCCCATTGGCCAACCCACGCAACGCGCCACACGTGATCTAGATCTAGCCTGAACCAGGCCGAGCGGAACCCACTAAACGAGACAACGAAGAGGACCATAACTCGGTGCAAACGGGTTTGGTTCGATCCCGTTCCTTGCGCTCAAAACTAATCACTTGCTAATCCATATTCATTTCTTTTTTTCCTCTGCATCCTACAGCCGCTCCATGACCTCGGGACGAACAAGCTGCACCGATGAATGGACGGACGCACAAGTGATGTCCCTGCACCCACATCCCCACCGCTCGATGCAGCTCTCACACTGGCCCACGCCACCCCCAGGCTCCATTCAATCATTCCGAAGCTCACCATACCAGCTAACTTTTGCCTTCAGCGTCGAGCGTCGATCATTGTGGGTGATCGTCGTCTCCACTGACACGGCTGCATGCTGCTCCAAACTTATGGTCATTTTTCCTCACCAAATATCGCTCTAAGATCGCGTAGATTCAATGACCGGCTAGCCAAGGCATTTGTTGGTCTAGATCATTAGACCGTTGCATCCACCAGGCAGGCTTTAGGTGCGTAACCATAGGTACCCTAGGCAGTTTCGTATGCAAATACATGTCCATGAGCGTGCAAGGAAGAGGTCTGTGCCCTCACAGCCGATCGTCAATATCGATTAGCACTCGGTGAGGGGGTGCTTCAAGGTCGCTTCGCGGCCGTTCTGCAGGGTACGCAGGAATTGAATAATCAGAGAATGAGATTATCGTGAACTCGACGTTGGGACGACACACGGAAACGATCGATGATGTTAGTGAGTTGGCTAATTATGTACATATGCCAAGAATTTTCGCTAGTTGGTTCAAGTGGCGTAATAATTAGCTAAAAAATAATTTAGTATTGGCAGCTGAGCTCTACGCAATATCTCAGACGTTTTAAGAATTCCTATTTACAAGGAGTATCTTCATAGCGCACATGAACTGGTAGTAGATGCAGTTACAAAGCTCGTGGTTACACAGGATAGTCGAGTGGTCATGGCACGGCTTGTGATGACCAGTTGCATGCTTCGGTCAACCAACACATATGCCCAATCTGCACGCGCAACGTCCGCGAAGGGAAGAGTTGATACAAGCTCGTCTTACGGAACCTCATGGATGTGCTTTGTATTCATTTGCGGTAAACGCACAGATGGGAGTTTGAAGTCCCGTAGGCGTCCTGAGAAGGCCTTTTCAAGCCAGATGAAGCTGGATTGTCGTCCTCGCCTTCGTCTTGGAAGGTGTACAGCAATGGGATCTCCCGCGTTGCCCGGTACTGGTCCATGTTACCCAGCTGTTCGTTTTCCAGACGGTCTTCATGTGTCAAAATGTCAAAATTACAGTTCCAGACAGATGGGACACCAGAGATGCACAGATATTCCAGTGGGCCCTACGAAGGATTTCGAGAAACGCGGCAATGAACGTTCTCGGCATGATGTTCAGCCCCGAAGGCACCAGAAAGTAAGAGAACCATAACGAATAAGCACGTTGAATACCTAGCAACTACCATCAGGACATATCCAGTAACAATACTGCCTTAGTGCTCACGATTGCAAAATAATAATGCTGTCCGGCGAAACGTGAGCAAGTTACCATAGCTGGGCCTGGTGGCGCACCGGAATATAGTCCCTGTATAAGAGCTCGGTGCAGAGGAACTTGTGCTCCGCCATCGGATTAAGTAAGGACCAGTCTACGAGTAGGTCCTGGGGAACGTGACATTCAGATCAGAGAGCTTGACGAAATGTAAAACCAGCAATAAACTGTACCCAACATGAGTATGAAGGCAGTGTCTCCAATTTTTGCGCCGTTGTGCCTCCACAGGTAGTAGAAAACATAGTACATCACCACACTCGATAGGTATTTTCCGCCCTGAGGGTACCCACATTAGAAGACCAAGCAACTAAATGCACTGAAGAAAGCGTATCAACGACGGCATGTAGCTTAAAACAAACGGCGTCTGCCAATGATGCGCAAGTCCGCATTTTTCATAGCTGTCGGGAGCCCAGTGATTGTGGACTGAACATGCAAGAGTCCAGAGGGAAGCAAGGGAGAATGTAAGACTGCAGAATTGGTCACCGAGCCAGAAGTCTGCGAAAGTATGGATCAGAGCTGATTTGCGTTTGAGCCCCGGGTCTGGGTCAATGTTGTACAAACGTTCACCAGGGGTGTAGAGGAAGAGAGGGAGAGGGTCAAATTGTAATTTGTGTGGCATTTCATGAGGAATCGCCTGACTGGACGTGGGACGCGGCATGGGCTGGAGGGATGTCGAAGTGTGAATGAATCAAGGATGATTAAGCCGCACTCTCCCGATCCTTAGTCGTGGTTCCCAGCATCGCGTCAAAGTCACGACAAAGCAGAACCAGAGTGACTTAGCAGGACTGCGTAAGAGAAGTTCTATTCCAATAGTGACTTGGCGTGGTCAGAACAGCATACACATGCCGCCAGTCCAACGTAGCAACCGTGGAGAGTGTATATTAATGTGAACTTTAAGGGACCTGACGAACGCTGATTGGGTACGTTTAATAACCAGAAGGGCCATTGTAGCGCCACTCAACGCCGCTGCAACCACCGAGTGGAGCGGGCGAAGCAACGGGGATGTGTCATGGCGCACCGGAACTAGCGAACATCTTATTATTACGAAGTCATAGAGGCTGGAGTCCTGCCTACGAACATCTCAGAACACGCGTACACAGCAGTCAGCCGTTGAACCACTCAGAGCCGGTGTTTTGCAGTGTGGTCCTTACCGAACGCCTACGAGGTTACGCAAAGGACCACTAGTACTACCGCTTTCAGTAGGAAAAGATATCAGGAGAGCAGGTTATCCATTTCTAGAGACACATCAGTTCGAATCCCACGCCGCCTCCGTACACGCTTAGTCGAATGACTAGGAGAATGACAAGGACGCATGCTTGTACGGCACATGGACTCGGAGAGCGGCTCCTTGTGTCGTCTTGTTTGGCATATTATGCCTAAGAAGGGGAAGCATGATTCGAAACGCAACTGCTTCGAACGGAAGGGTGCCCCAGACAGGAGGAAGAGCGGCATTCAAACTACGACATACCTCAGGCTTACATGACGCCGCACGGGCAGAGCAGCAGGATGGATTATACTGAAACGAAGAAGTACAACATTAACAACGGTATGTCGTCCTCAGTGCGTACAACAAATCCTCCAGTTAACTATCAGGTTCTGCACCCGATCGATGCGGTTAGTTGTTGGGTGTTGTTTGGGCCCAGACAGAATTGCCTTCAACTGGAGATGCTCGATTTGGGAACACCTTTTGCCAATGGCCGTCCGATACATGTGTTACTCGATTGCACCCAGAAACTACATGAATATTTCAGGCGCCCTCATGAAGCTTTGAAGAGTCGTGGGTGAGTATGCATATACTCCGCCGCTCAGCTGTACCTTTCAGCACACAGTAATATTCCGCAGTGGGATTAAGTCCAACCTCCATAAGCAAATGAAGAGCTTCTTTCCCTGCCACGTGGTCGTTTCCCTAATATTCCCCCACCTTTTCCGCGCGTCTTCTCGAATCTTCGCCTCTGCCCCATAGACATTGCCGATCCCCCACCATTCCTGATAAATATCGAGAATTTTGACGGGATAGGACATCTCGACGACGGACGGCTTCAACTTAAGGTCTCAGATAATCTGCAGTAGGTTGGTGCCTTGCTCTTCTTTCCTCCGCTGCGGCTCCCAATGGTGATGGCTTTGTCACGATGCTGACAGGCCTAGCGCCTAGTTCATTTCCAAGTCATCTAACACCTTCGATCTCTTCTACCTAGAGATATGAACGTTCCTACATTGGTTCTTCCGGAGGACGAAGGCTCGGCCCAGACCTCTATTACACCTACTGCAACAACGTCAAGCCATCAGAACTCCGGAAATGTTGTCGCTGGCGCCGCTGGGAATACCATCGAAAATTCCATCGATCCCATCGATAGTGAGTGAGCTATTTGCGGAGTTCTAGATACTTCGTGTTCAAGCTTTCGACCTCCTTATCAGAAGCGATCTCCATGTTATTACCGTCTCAGCGTTTAGCTGCCGAAGGATCTTTCCATAATACGATTCCCTCCTTCGCTTCGAGCTCCACTTTGTCAGGCTTTGTCCCGGCAGCCACCGAGCCTCTCGTTTTTCCAGAACCAGCCTCGGTCGATGATTTTCTCTTCGAGGTAAGAATAAATTTTATGATGCCTTGAACTCCCACTCATCCAATTTTTAAAGCTTGATAAAGGCATCGAGCCCTCACTCGAGCCTCCCCTGCCCGATGACACATCTTCTGCAACGGCAGTATCGCTTCGCGACCGACTTGGTGTCCCATTTACCCGGTCGACTTTATCCGATTCTTCATCCACAATTGCCCCATCCTTTACATCTTCTGCATCTTTCACATCATCCTTGAGGAAGAAAGTCGCAAGCATTGCATCAGCAGGCGCTTTCTTCGCCGAATGCTTGGACTCGAGGCCATATCGAATTTTTTCTGTCCGAACGTTCTGCGAAAGCTTATTCAACAGTCGTCGTGCTGCAAATGCCAGGATTGTGTCCGTTCAACGATATGGGGATCTTCAAGGGGTGCCACATCGATTTCTCATCATGCATGTCACTCGAGCCGATGGAAGGGAGTTTTACCTTCGGTTGGATCGCAGACGGGACCGCCAAGTTCCCTTGTTGTTGTTTGGGGTACGGGATTTGGGAACGTCACGCGCGATAGATACGGTATGTAATGGACTCTTCGATGTCTTTACCGCAGCTAAGAGGCGGTACTACTGATAGGCTGCTGTTTCTGGTAGACTCGACCACCTTCTTGATTTCACCAACACCAAGTCCGGCGTAGAGGCCATCATGATCTTCCCCACTCCCGTTCCTCTGATCGCGGCTGCGCAAGTTCTGTACGCAATCGCAGCAGAATCCCCTGGTTACAAGCTAACCAAAGTAAGCATCAATGGCCGAGCAGGTGTCCTCATCAGGGATCCACTAACTGCATGTAGGAAAATTGTTGGTTTTTCGCTTCGGTCATTCAGGAAATGTTGCTGCGGAGGTTCGGGGCAAAGTATGAGAGAGGGTCTCTTAACCATCCCACAATCGGTGCTGAGAGACGAGACCGCATCACAGTTCTGACATATTCGCACATTGCCAAAGACATTAATGCCAATCCAGAGACAATCATAAAATTCGCTGATTTAATGGCAGATTCAAGGCTAAGGAAGGCTGTGAAGTCTGTCCTCGATACTGTAAAACACCACCATGTGAGAGAATGGCCTGCGTGCCGTCATTCACCGTCACTGATCAGGTTTGAGCTATCAGTCCGCTTATCACAGTTCCCTGCCCAGCGCATTCCAAATCTCCACACCCACCCAAGCCCTCATTGCCGCATTGCAACGAACATTACACGAGCACCTACATGGACTCTATGGAACCCAAGGCGCACGGATATTCCCAAACAGATTCACCGAGTTAGTAAATCAATTGGTTATTCCACTGTGAACAGCCTATTTACGCAACTCCCGCTAACTTCCTGTTTTCTAGTCAATTAGTTCAGATTTTCTCATCTTTGGAACAACTTCAAGAAGATAATCTCACCACTCCAATATCGAGTATCATACACCTCTTGGAATCATCTGTATGTGGATCACGCTGGAGTCGGAGTCGTGAACTGTCTAATTTATCCAGTAGCTGCAAGAAGCTTATACACTGCATCCCCCTTCCCCAGTTACCTACGATTCGTTCAAAAATGACGTGGATCCATTTTTCGGGCTCTCTCCGAGGAAAGGCATGGTGCTTTTCGCATTGGAACTGCTTGGGCGATGTGCAGTACTGGATCAGTTGCCAACGCTATGGCGTTTCTAAGTAAATGCAGAAATCCCTGAGCTCCAACATGAGTTCGAGAGGTTGATGACGACGCAGCTAAAGTTTGTGTGTTGTCATTGGGTCACTCTCCTTTGTGAGTCGGATGAGTCCCATGATGGTGAAACAATGAAGGCCCTTTCCAACGCTGTCCCGGCTCTTCTCCACTGGATTGCCGCAATGGGAATCATGGGTGATTTTGACCAAGCATGCCAAAGCATGAAAGAACTACAGCGATGGCTAGTGCGTCAAAAATTACTTGGATACTAGCATATGGCTCACTTTGGCGTTTTGAAGGTCGGCATTCAAGCAGTCAATAGTATAAGTCACGTATTTCGCGACCTGCTCTGTCTAGTCGAGCGATCCCGGAGTGCATTAGCGGCTTCGTCCTTATCTATACTCGGAAGTAGCCATCCATTTATTCCATCAGGTAGCGCGTTAGATGCGTCACTTCGGAAGGAGTGTACTGTTGAATGCCGTATTGTTTCTCATCATATGGAAAGCAGCCGACCATGGTCACCGCAAGCGGGGACAATCCACAGCCCAAGTAGACCCCGCTCTGTGGTATTTTCTCCAGATGGCTGTCATCTAGTCTCAGCCTGTGGGGATGGCATCGTGCGCATCTGGGATGCGGCGACGAGAGTGCTTCTGAGGGAAATGAAGGGACATACTAGTGAGGCCAATTCCGTTGCATATTCACCAGATGGCATTCATCTGGCCTCGGCATCGGGTGATCACACTGTGCGTTTCTGGGATGCGGCAACGGGAGCATGCCTTCGAAAACTGAAGGGGCATACCAACGTGGTGAAATTTGTGACATTTTCCCCTGATGGCCTTCGTCTGGCCTCGGCCTCGTGCGATCGCACTGTGCGAGTTTGGGATACAGCAACAGGGGAGCCCCTCTGGAAATTGAATCATGATAACTTGGTCTTTTCTGTATCCTTTTCACCAGATGGGCGTTATCTAGCCTCAGATGATACCAACGTGCGTATCTGGGATGCATCGACAGGAGCACTTCTTCAAACACTGGAAGAACGTGCCTCCAGCGTCCATTTTGTGAAGTTTTCACCAGATGGATGTTATCTGGCCTCAGGCTTGTGGAGTGGAATCATACATGTTTGGAATGCGGAAACAGGAGTCCCGCTTCATGAGCTGAAGGGACATACCAATGACGTCAAATCCTTGGATTTCTCGCCAGATGGCCATCATCTGGCCTCGGCCTCAGACGACAGCACAGTGCGCATCTGGGATGTGGCAACAGGAGCGCCTCTTCGAGAGCTGAAAGGGCATACTGATCGGGTTACCTCCGTGAATTTTTCGCCAGATGGTTGTTATCTGGCCTCGGCATCTTGGGATGGCACTGTACATGTCTGGGATGCAACGATGGAATTACCCACTCGAGGGCCAAAGGCAACGAAAGGTCATGTTGACACCATATCCTGTGTGGAATTTTCGCCTGATGGACGCCATCTTGTTTCGGCCTCCAAGGATGGCAGAGTGTGTGCCTGGGACATTGCCGACAGGAGTTGCATTGAGCAGACACACATCACGAAAATCGGACAGGCAACTAGAGCAAAGTCCCCTGGTCCAGAGCACTCCGGAGGCTCCAGAGCACCTGGGAGCATCTGGACCATGTGGGAGCGCCAGTCCGATTTTCGTGATGCAGCTCAATGAGATCTTTCGTCCCCACCAAATGCTATTTTCCACCGATGCCTTAACACTTCGCATCCGAGGTCAGCAAGAGACAAAACATTTCAGCTTTCCAAAGTTAAGCGACCTACATCAGCAAAAGTCTGTTATGCTCCGGAGCATCAAGAGTGGCTGGAGCATGTGGGAGACAAAACAGCAGATTGGGCACTCCTGGAGCCAATAGTGTTCTCCTGGGAGGGGGTTCAGGAGCAGCAGGGAGTGGTGAGGAGTATGTAATGTGCCAGGAGCAGTGGGAGGAAAATTTTGGTCTCTAAAAAGTTGAAAAAAAAATTTTCAGGAAAAATCAAAAAAAAATCAGGAACTATAGTGCCTTTAAAGTGCTTTCAGGACATATAATTATTTGCAAAATTGAGGAAGAAATGATGGAGAAAAATGGAAAATACTTTCGGAGACCCGAGAAATAATGAGAACTGAATTGATGGGAAAGTCTGAAAATTGAATAGGAAAGTGAGGGGAAGCCTTGTAAGCATTGTTATTTTCTGCTGTTCTGATTTTTCCTGATTGTTCTTGGTCTCACTCCCAGCTGCTCCTGGACCCTCCCAGGAGCTTTCAGGAGCTTCCAGGAGTATTGAGGAGCAGCTGGGAATGAGACCAAGAAGAATTGGGAAAAATCAGAACAGCAGAAAATAACAATGCTACAAGGCTTCCCCTCACTTTCCTATTCAATTTTCAGACTTTCCCATCAATTCAGTTCTTGGGTCTCCAAAAGTATTTTCCATTAGCTGCTCCTGGACCCTCCCAGGAGCTTCCAGGAGCATCCAGGAGTATCCAGTAGCAGCTGGGAGTGAGACCAAGAACAATCAGGAAAAATTAGAACAGCAGAAAATAACAATGCTACAAGGCTTCCCCTCACTTCCCTATTCAATTTTCAGACTTTCCCATCAATTCAGTTCTCATTATTTCTCGGGTCTCCGAAAGTATTTTCCATTTTTCTCCATCATTTCTTCCTCGATTTTGCAAATAATTATATATCCTGAAAGCACTTCAAAGGCACTACAGTTCCTGAATTTTTTTGATTTTTTCCCTGATTATTTTTTTCAACTTTTTAGAAGTCCCTATTTTTCAAATTTTCCTCATTTCCCTCTATATCCCCCCCTCATTCCCCTCATTCCCCCCCTCATTCCCCCCCCCTCATTCTCCCCCTCATTCTCCCCTCATTCTCCCCCTCATTTCCCCCTCATTTCCCCCCCTCATTCTCCCCCATTTCCCCCTCCCCCATATTCTGCCAGCCCGAAAGTGATTAAGTTGTCAGATTAATCATATATCAGGCCATAAATTTTGATTGTGTATTGGTGAGTCTCAGTGTCCTTGATATATAGTATAGTGTTTGATCTAAATGTTAAGCAGTGTCTTGTTGTGTTAGTCTTGTGGTAGGAGGTATTCATGGGGGATCTTCCCTCTTTTTTTCCTTTTCATTTTCAAATGCTCCAGGAGCTCCCAGAAGCTTCTCACCCCTATACACTTTGAAGCATTTAAATTGTATTTACTGGATATGTTTGTGCACAAAGCAATGCTCCAGGCCCTCCTGGGAGTGCCCTGGAGTACCTAGCCAACTCCGGAGGAAATGAGCTGTTCCTGGACTGGCCAATCTCCTCCTGATTCTCCCAGTGCTCTCGATACTCCGGAGCACTCAGGAGCATAACAATTTTTTGCTGATGTATCCAACCCAATTTCAACATCCTTCCACACATCTTCACCCACCCATCTCTTTCTTGATCATAATGCTCTTTGCATCAAGCGCGAAAACCTTTCCCTGCACATCTGTTGGCTACCCGACTACTTCAAGCCTAGCTGTCCAATCGCGGAACATGGTAACCATGTCAGCATTGGTGGAGAGGGAGGGATGATCGCATTCATCAATTTAGACGGACTTGTACCCCCCTCCATTTAGCACTTGCGTGGTATGACCACGTTGGTCTTAACTTTGCTGGGCATATACAAGGATCGCAACTGCCAATACTAATTTCTAACTTGACTAATTTTTAACTTTTAGCGATCGGAGGCAAACCTGTTCAGAGTTTACTACATATTAGCAGGCTCTTGGCATATGCATGTAATTTGCTCCTTTTGACATGTTGAATTGACATCATCATTTCCTTGCGTCATCCCAATGCCCCGTTCATGATGACCAATCCTGATTATCCGATTCCTTGTGTACCTGTGCCTCATGAATGAACATTTAGCTTTTCATTGGGCATTATATAAGGTCCGCACTCGGATACTTGAACAGGTGAATCTACCACTGGGCTAATTTACAGGGAGTGTGGGAGACGGTAAAAATGGAGGAAATCATGTATATGAATATTGAGAGGGGTACGTAAGACCCCAATCTGATGTGCAGAACCTAGGAATTTGTGTAGGATCCCTTGCGGATGGTCTGTAAACGAATATGATGGGGTAGAATGGAGATGTTCCACCGAGGGGTGTCATGCAGCGTCCATACCGTGCCACAGGTTTATAGGAGGGCACATAGTGATTGAGAGTGGATGATACTGGGACGAAGAGGTAGAGAATAATTAGGAGCGGACTCGTGTACCGGATATTGGCCAGCTTGCATAGTGGGTCTATAAAGTATCTAGGAGGTGTTGAACCCAACGCCCCCGGGCTGAGCAGGTACAGCATGCCGAGACTCGCGCTGATGTTCATACACTCAGTCCGCTCGCAGCGCACAGTTGACTGGACAGTGACAGAGAACGGGCTTGACCCCTGTAGCCTTCGTGGGATCCGGCTCGGATCTCAAGTGCTTGGCATGGCTGTGGCTTTCAACTGGAGATGCTTGATTTGGGAACCTCTTGCCATTGAATGGCTGGCCATCCAATACATGTGTGTTACTCGATTGCGCACAGACACTACATACAAGCGCACATCTCAGGCACCCTCATGAAGCTTTGAGGAATTGTGGTGTGAGTATGGATGTGCTCCGCCGCCTAGCTGCAGTACACTCAGCAATAGGATCAAGTCCGACAAGAGCTTCTCCCTGCCTGCATACACCTGGCCGTTTTCCCGATATTACCAATGTAGTTCCACACTCTCACCATGCGTCTTCTCGAATCTTCGCCGCTCTGCTCCGTAGACGTTGCCAATCTCCCCCATCATTCAAATTGTTGAGGATAATCTGCAGTAGGTTGGTACCTTTTGCTCTTTTTCCCCTCCGCTCTGGCTCCCAACGGCGATGGCCATATCACGATGTTGACAGCTCTGGCGCCTAGTTCTATTTCCAAGTCATCATCTTCCACCTCCGATTTCTTCTATCTAGGGACATGGACCTTCCTATGTTGATTCTTCCAGAGGACGAAGGTTTGGCCCAGACCTCTACTGCAACGACACCAGGCTACCGGAACCCCGGCAGCGCTACTGGCTCCCGGAATGCAGGTGAAAGTTCAGTAGATTCTGTTGGCGGTGAGTGGTATCTGTGAGCCTTGCTGTTCAAGCCTTCGATACCCTTATTAGAAACGCTCTCTGTGTTGTCCCTATCCCAACACACAAATTGCCGGAGACTCTTTCAATAATGCGGATACCATTTCGGTTTTCAGTTCGACTTCGCTAAGCCCTGTGACCATCGATCCTCCCTTATATCCTGAACTAGCCTCCGTCGATGATTTCCTCTTCGAAGGATGGGTTTTGTAACATCTCGAACTTTCACTCATTTTGACTCTAATAGCTTGATGCCGGCATCGAGCTCTCACTCGACCCCCTTCCGACGATGACGACGCGTTTTCCATGAAAGCACCATCGCTTCGCAGTCGACTTAACACCCCCATTTCCCATTCCTCCTCTTCATTATCAGCATCCTCTGCAGTTGCCCCATCTATTACTTCCTCCTCGGGGCCCGAACGCCTTTCCTTCAACAACCCATTTTCCATAAAAGCACCGTCGCTTCGCAGCCGACTCAGTGGCCCCTTTTCTCGTTCCTCCACCTCATTATCAACCTCGTCCACAATTGCCCAGTCTTTTACCTCGTCCTTCAGGAAAAAAGTCACAAGCATTGCATCGGCAGGCGCTTTCTTCATGGAAATGCTTGGACTCTCGGCCATATCGAGAATTTCCTGTACGAACTTTTTGTGAAAGTTTATTCAACAGTCCTCGTGCTGTTAATGCTAGGATTGCGTCTGTTCAGCGATATGGCGATGTTCTAGGAGTGTGACGTCAGTTCCTCATCTTTCATGTCGCTCAAGCTGACGGGAAGGACTTCTACCTCTGGTTGGATCACAGACTGGACTGCCAGGTCCCGTTGCGGGCATTTGTGACACAAGGTTTCCAGATGTCAAGTGCCACAGATACAGTATGTAATGATGAATTTCTAACGATGGCCCCAGAGCTAAAATGTGGGACCCTGACAGGCTGCTCTTTCTGGTCGACTTGACCACCTCCTTGATTATGCAAACAAAAAGGCCAGCGTAGAGGCCATTATGGTCTTCCCTACCCTGCCTCCTCTCATTGCAGCTGCGCAAATTCTATGTGCTATTGAAAAAGAGTCCCTGCAATACAGGTTGACCAAAGTATGTGTCAATGTTCACTGCTTGGCTATCACCGTTGATCTGCAGACACATAGTACAATTGCTGGTTCTTCATCTCTACTGTCCAGGAAGTGTTGCTGCTGAGGTTTGGGGCCAACTATGAGTCATCTCATGGTTAATCAGCCCGATTTATTTACCAGTTACTTCAGTACGTTCTTCAAGCTCTGTCCAAAACATGAAGTCGTGCTGTTGGCAATGGAGCTACTGGGGAAATGCACGGTACTGGACCAATCGCCAACGGAATGGCATTTCCACATAAATTGTGACATTTCCAATCTCCAGCCTGAACCGGGAAGTTGGTGTCGACCCAGCTGAGGTTTGTGTGCTGTCATTGGATCACCCTCCTTTGTGAGCTGGACTCCCAAGATGATGAAGTAATGCAGACCCTTTCCCACACCGTACCAGCACTTCTTCACTGGATTGCAGCAATGAGGATCATGGGAAAAATTGATCAAGCATGCTGAGGCATGAGGGCTACAAGCAGGGAACATAGCAACAAGTGTGGGTAATTTGCTTCGTAGAGACAGTCAAGACAATAGGTTCAACGGTGCAGTGCAGGACAGGAGTCCAAAGTTGTTAACTCGATGACATGCAGCCCCAGGCCAGGAACGATCGTCATTCGGAGCAGAGCCAAAAGCTCATGCAGTCTCGGCACTACTAGCTGTCTTACGAAATTCCCTGCATCAAGTGGTAGATGTTGACTGCTTGTTTTAACTCTGCTGTTGGTGCACGTCATATGTGTAATGAATCAAATCGATCTCGGATATAAGTTATTCATCCAGAAATACTATCATGGCACGGCCTCTCAATGGCTTGTTGACCATAGAAGATAAATGACACCCCCAAGTAGTATGAAAACAAACAAGGAGAATGTCAGGGCACACCCACCTCACCCAGCTCCACCCAGCTCCACCCCACCTGCTACCCCCTTCTTCCCCTTCCTGTCTCCTCCTCCCTCCACTTCCCCCTCTTCTTATTTCTCCTCTGTCTCATTCTCTATTCTTCCTATTTCTATTTACATGGACGACTTTCCTTGATCGATGTACTACTAACCCACCTGCGACCCATGCACGATGCACCCAGCCCCGGACGCTCCGGACGACCCCCGGGTACGCCCAGCACGCGTGCCTGCAGCGGATCCCTTCGTGATCCCCCATGGTAATACCCGGGCGGCTGGGGCTGTGCATGGGGACGATGTGGCAACTCTCATGTGACCTGAGCACCATGTATATAAACATACCTGGGGTGGGAACCAGAGAAGCAGTCTTCTTCTCACCATTCCCACTTCAGGGACATCTGCCTGTGCCGGACCCGTTACCGTACATGCCCGCTTCACACCCCACTGGGCCCTCAGCGCCAGGCGATATACCCAGACGCTCTCGACCCCGGACCGGTCCCTGACAGAGAAGAGTCATCTCTTGGCGCGATGTTTAGCTACCAGTACCCCTTCACCCAAAGTAACAAAGTAAAGAACCCGGGGAACCACACTGAAAAGCAAATCATTCACCAGGTAACCAATGGTGTTTTAGGGTCTGATGACATACTTTGCAGATTTGGAATCATGGTGGTGGAGTCGGTGACGGTGAGAACACCAATCGAGGAGATAGCATAATGGTATGTAAACCTAATAATGACAAAAGCCACGTGCACAATGATGAAAATGAGGAAATATATTTTAAAACCAACTAGAGATGTGAATATGTATCATATTTTATCATAAATAAATGATCAAGGTGTGGGGATAGTGTCAGGGATGGGTCCGGGGTGGAGGGGGCCCGGATGTAGCGCCCAGCAGAGGGACCCTCTCGAGGTGTGAAGCGGGTGTGCATGCTGGTGGGCCTGATGCAGGACAGCAGTCCCTGGCCACTTATACTGAAGTGGAAAAGGTGAGAAGAAGGTTACTTCTTCGGTTCCCACTTCAGGTACATTTATGTACATGCAGCTTGAGTCACATGATGGGTGCCACGTCATCCTTGGAGACAGCCGCAGCCATCCAGGTGTCCCTGCAGGGGATCCCGAGGGCATCTGCTGCAGGTGCGCGTGCTGGGCATGGCAGGGAGCTGTCCGGGGTGTCTGGGCCAGACGGGTCAATAGTACATTGATGCAAGGGAAAGTGGTCCATGTAAATAGAAAGAATAAACAGGAAGAGAATGATGGGAAGAATGAAATAAAGGTGTCAGGGACACGTCCGGGGTCGAGGCGGTCTGGGCGTAGTGTCCGGTGCTAAGGACCTCACAGGGGGTAGATCGGGCATGCATACTGGCAGGCCCGAAGCGGGACAGCGATCCCTGGCCACTTAGACTGAAGTGGGAATGTTGAGAAGAAGGTTACTTCTTTGGTTCCCACCCCAGGTGTGTTTATATACATGCGGCTTGGGTCACATGAGGTCTGCCACATCACCCCACATACAGCTGCAGTCACCCGGGTGTCCCCACGGGGGATCCTGAGGGCGTATGCTGCACACGCGTGCACTAGGTTGCACCCTAGAGCCATCTGGGGCATCTGGGGCTAGGCATGTCATGTGCACCTTGCGGGTGGGTCGATAATACATAGATATAAGGGAAAGGTCATCCATGTGAGATAGAAGTAGAAATAGAAATAGAAATAGAAATAGAGATAGAAGTGGAAGAGGGATAGAGAGGGGAAAGAACAGGAAGGAAGGGTGCAGGATGAGAGAAGAGGTACCGGGTGAGGTGGGCCCGGGTGGAGGCGGGTCGGGCGGGTGTGCCCTGACAAAAGGAAAGAGAAGAGAGAGAGAAGAAAGAAAGAAAGGGGAGGGAAGGAGGAAGGAGAAGGATGGGCAGCGGGTGAGGTGTGGCTGGGTGGACCCAGGTGGACCCGGGTCAGGCAGGTGTGCCCTGACAGATAGTCTCTGAATTGCTCAACTCTGAATCTGAACTATGGTATAAGCAACCCAACCCAACCTGACTCATTTTAAAAAATAGACACATACCCAATACACAGCCACCAACCCCCCCCCCCAACCCAATGCCCAATGCCAACCCACCAACCCAACAACCCAACAACCCAATCCCCTGGCCCAGTCCCAGGGGGGAGTAAAAAAAACAGCATAATAGCTACAAATTGAACTGAGACCCAACCAAATCAATGATGAACGGTAATTCATTAGCCATTAGGCTGAAGCACCACCAATTATGTACTTGCCAGAACTTAATTTGTAAATACCCTTTTATAAACATTACAAATATGGAAATCTGGAATCAGATTTGCAGAACTAATTTTATGATTTTTGAGAGATTTTTTAGCGCACATGCCTGTGCATGTGACTTTTGTCCATTCTACTAAGGGGTGTTAGAACTGGGTGAGGGCAGATGATTCTGGAGTGGAACCGGAGACTTAGCAAGGAGGGACCTTGGCCTCAGCGACTCAAGGGGAGCACTGTGCCATTGCTGTTTGTCCATTTGGTCCTTAATTTCAGAAGCAGTGAGCAGGGAGTCCCTAGGGGGCATTTCTGGTCTATTTTAGACTGAGGGTCCAAAACGAGTATGTACAAGTGCTTGTATATAATGGGGAGATGAAAGCACAAGGAAATCAAAGGTGTCCGAATGGAGACAAAGGGAATTACGGAAACGGAGCAGTACCGAAGGTCATGGGTTAGACTCTATGGTACATCTGAAAGGAGGTAGGGAGGGCAAAGCCCAGAGGGGCAGGAGGATGAGGTGAAGTGGGGTTGATGACTAACTGGCTAAAATAGAAGGAAGCAGTAGTCCAAATAGGGATGAGGGGAAAGTGTGAAGATACAGTACAAGCAGTGAAGGTGCCAAGAACATTCTGTGGAGCTTGGAGGTAGCAGAGCTTATGGAGGTTGTGGAGGCAGAGTCGGAAGTCTGAGGAATATTGGCAATGGCGTTTATAGGTCACCAATGCAATGGACTTAAGCTGAGGTGGAGTCAAAGTCCGAGGTCAGGACCATGATGGAATCTCGGAGCGAAGGCATGAGTGGTGTCCAAGTACAGGGTACGGGATGGTGGTGGAAGGTCATAACTTGGTGGAGGTTGGCAGAAGAGGGGCAGAAGGAGAAGGGTGATGAGGAGAGGAGCGATGTGAGGAGTGAGGAGAGGAGCAAGGTGAGGAGGTGACAAGACAAGTGAGGAGAGGAGGTGACAAGACATCTGAAGGTGGGTATTGGAGCGGGTGGGGGTAGGGTAGGACTCCGGAGGTGGTGAAGCGGAGGGTCCGGGGGTTGGATTGGGATCAGGTATGTACAGATATGACAAGGGGTGTTGTTAGGTTTACTGGAATGTTCAGAAATGGATGTGGTGTGTGAATGTGATAATGTCCTTGCATGACATCGTAACATTGAGATCTGCTGGTTGTGACTGCATTGAGCAAGCACGGTTTTTGCTTCAGCACAGACGACACAGACATACATTGCAGGGTGATTGGGCAGCAAAGATTGAGTTAGACTTTTCCAACTGGAGTGTCTTGGAGAAATGGGAAAACTTCTTGGGCCAATGAGAGACACAAGAGTGTTTTCCACTCTTTGTAAAGAACATCAAGAGAGAGAGAGCGTGGTGGGGTGCTTCTCAGGATAAACAGCAGGTCGAAGCAAGACACAACACATGATAGGCACGTTTGCTGAGGATCCAAAGGGCAAGTTGGAAGTGTGAGTTACATATGTCCAATCACACACACCCATGCTGGGCTGGAATTCCAACAAGTATGTAACAGCCACACAATTACCATGTTGTTGTTTAGGCATGTAGGTGAACACTGAGAAGCAGCAAGAAGCAAAATCACAAGGGAGGAGAAGTTGGAAACTAAATGAAGTGAATTCACTTGAATGAGGGAGTTGATAGTATCCAAATCACCTTAGAATGGTAACAGATCAGTCTCTTACCTTCAAACATGGAAACCACTTATTTGGAAACTGGGTATGTACAGACGTGCTGACCAAGCACTCAATGCAGAAGTGGTAGCAGTTGGCAATGTAATCATGTTTCATTCATCGTTAAGAACTCTTATAAACCCTCACTCATAGCATCATTGGTGATGGTGGATTGAGAAGCTGCTGGTGCAGCTCAAAAAGAGAATGGCCTCCTGAACAAGGAGTGAGCAAATGCCTTGGCATGGACAACAAACCTCACTTGAGTTGGCATTTGAGGGAAGGAAAGAAATTACAGCAACCATCAAAAAAAACTGCACATCAGATTTGGATGCATGACCCGAGTTGGATCTCATGATTGTCCAAAAATGGTCGGAAATCAGGGTCAATTTCAGTGTCAATACATTCGGCATTTAGCGCTTGTGGTGCAGGGGTCTTCAGGTTCACAAGAGCCTCTTCCATACTCATGTGAGGCATGGATAATAATGATATAGCATGAATACTAAGAGCGTCGTCGGCCACGGGTCTCAGCAAAGGTGGTCAGGGGATTCCTGATAAGGCAATACTCAACTCGCGATCAATCAGAGGTAAGCTAGAAACTATCTTGTCAACGCACATCTGTGCATATTTATCAAGTATTTATACATACACGAAATATATTACAACGTGAATATACATAAAATAGGTAACTGCGCAAGCGCGCATATGCAAGCATGAATATCCTGGAATTATCTGGGGATTTCCCACAATAATCCAGAATATTCCGGCAGGTTCTGGTCACTTGCGGATTCCAACAGGATTACAGAGATCCTCATGGATGGTGCATGGAGACAGCTGGGTTACTGCTGAAATATCGTGTGTGCTCTGTTACGGGCCTCATGGAGCTAGGACATAGGATCAAATGAGATGGAAGCAAGAGAGCTCAGATCACGAGAACAAAACTAGGAGCCAAAGTCAAATTGAGGCAGGTAACCTGCGTTGACCAGTTAAGGGACTACTCCTTACTGGTCAACCGCATTATATACACATCGTGTAACAGTTCTGACTAGGCAAATGTGGTCCACTTATAAACTAGGCTGGATTATCGGGCAAGGTGCTTGGGTCCGAACTAGATCCGTCGGTGTTACGTCAAACCGTAACATTATCTTCCCCTTCTCAAAATGCGAGGCCTAACTCGTGATCGAATTCGTGATTCTATCTTTGTTGACGGGGCGAGATATGCGACCTGAGCGTAAAGTCGTCTGAGGCGGCGGTGTGTACATGTTGCTGGGTCTATCCATTGGTTGCAGGGGAGGAGCAGGAGCCAAAACGTCGTGTGATCGCTCAGATGTCGGTTTCGTGTCTGGGAAAATTCTCCGTGGCTGTGGTAGTTTCGTATGTCGACAGTGGAAAGTTTCTAACAGTTCGTTATAGGTGTCCGGAATGTCGTTGAGCATGAACCAGGATGTTTCTGAGCTGGGTTTATCTGATTGTTCCAACAGGTACTCGAAACGTCTGCCCACTTTTCGTACATCCAAGATTTTCTTGATGTTTAATGGGTTGTCTTCAGCAAGCAAGGACAAGGCTTCCCAGGAAGGGTGCTCCAACCTTAGTCATTTTGCCCACTCTTCTGGGTGGATGTAATGCTTGAGCAGGTTAATGTTGAACACTGGATGTAGCCTCATGTAGGAGGGGGGCAATTGCAGACGGTACGCGTTATTCCCTATTCTTGCCAGAACTTTACATGGTCCGATTTTCCGGTAGTCGAGTTTTGATGAAGGGCGGCCACTTCGAATGTTTCATCGAGATACCAATACTAAATCACCCGGTGTAAAGTCAGGCGAGTCCGATCTTTTCCCATCATAAGCTCTCTTTGCGGATTCCTGTGCCAATTTCAACTCCTCCTGCAGTTCTTCTTTTATCAACTCCATGTGTGAAGCGAATTCCGCTGCTGCTGGGTTTACCACCCTCGTACCTGGAACCAATGTGAACGTAGGGTGGAAGCCGTAGTTTGCCCAGAAGGGGGATACTTGTGTAGGTTTGTGCTGCAAATTGTTGTACTGGAACTCTGCTATTCCAAGGAAATCTACCCAATCATCCTGCTGGTATGAGCAATAGACCCTAAGGAATTGCTCCAGTACTTGGTTTACACGCTTGGTTTGTCCATCGGTTTGTGGATGATATGTTGTTGATAAGTTCAACTGAACTTGTAGCTGTGACGTCAAGGCTTTCCAAAATTCAGACACGAAGACTGGTCCTCGATCGGATACTATTGAGCGTGGAAACCCATGCAGTTTGAAAATATTCGCAATGAATAGTTGGGCTAAGCTGGGGGCATCAAGTGCTTTGTGTGTCGGAATAAAATGTGCTTGCTTAGACAGACGGTCTATGACTACCAGGATGGAATCATAGGTGTGTGATGGTGGCAAGTCTGTGATGAAGTCCATTGAGATCGCTTCCCAATTTCTTTCTGGAATCTCCAAGGGGACCAGTTTCCCATAGGGTGCATGATGGTTCGATTTAGACTGTTGGCAAATGTCGCAAGATCTGACATATTGCCGGACATCCGCACTGAGACGTGGCCAGCTATAGTCCCTGGTGATAAAGCCGATCGTTTTTGCCCATCCTGGGTGACCTGCCAACAGGCTATCGTGATGTTCATACAGCACGCAGCTTCGCAAACTCAGGGGGACATAGATCTTTTGTCGAAACAATGGGAGCCCTTCTTCCAACTTCCAGTCTTTGTCTCCTGATTCCATCGCGGACTTCCATACTTCGTCATCAGAGAGCGCCTCATTCAACTCCTCCTCAGATATTGAACTCGAACTAGGTGGTTGTGGTGATGGAGGAGGTGATGGAGGAGTAGCAGCTGCGGATACCTCAGAAGTAGACAACATGAGCAGGTCAGCATCGGGTGTAGCGAGCAGGTCAGCTGTGGTGCTTGCTGCTGTTACTGGTGAGTTTGTTGGTATTTCCACCCATAATCTCTCCGTATGTTCCTGAGTTAGCAGTTTCTGAAAGTTGACTTCCTTTTCGGCATCTCCGTCTTCAGGGACAAAGTCTGCCCGGCGAGAGGGGGGGTCCGCTGGGTTCTCTTTTCCAGGGGCATATGACAGTCTGAAGTTGAACTCTGCAAGTTCTAGTGACCACCGAGCTTGGTGATGGTTGAGGTGTCGAAGAGTCATGAAATATTCGAGATTTTTGTGGTCCGAGATGACAGATACCGGAGTGTCCGTTCCCACTAGCCAAGGCCTGAACTCTCTCAGGGATTCCATGATGCCCAACATCTCCTTATCGTGGATACCATAATTTATTTCCGACTTGGACAGCTTTCTTGAAAAGTAAGCTAGTGGGTGTAGATGTCCCTCATCATCTTGCTGATGGGGAATACCCGAGATAGCGAAGTCAGAGGCGTCTGTGAAGAGGAAAATTGGCCGAGAAGGATTGTGGTGTGCAAGTACTGGGCTTGAGGTGAATGCCCTCTGTAACCTGTGAAAAGCCTCGAGGGTCACCCCTGCCAGTGGAAACACTCCTGGTCCTTTTTTCTTTGTCAGTTCAATCAGTGGGATTGCAATTTCCGAGTAGTGCGATATAAATCTGCAGTAAAAGTTTGCAAATCCCAGAAGTGACTGAACCTCCTTTACCGTTTTTGGCACAGGCCATGACTTGATTGTGTCGAGCTTCCTGGGGTGCATTGCAATGCCATCTTTACCCATGATGAAGCCAAGGTACTCCAGTGCCTCCTTATCAAACTCACACTTGTCTACCGATGCAAGCAGCCCATTTTCACTGAGAGCTTGGAGGACTTTAAGGACGTGTTGATTGTGCTGCTCCTGTGAGTCCGAAAAGATTAAAATGTCATCGAGGTAAACCACACAAAAAATTCCCAGGTGTTCACGTAGAACCCATTGGATAAAACCTTGAAAAGCAGCAGGGGCATTTGTAAGACCAAAAGGCATGACCAAGTATTCAAATAATCCTTCATTCGTTCTGAAGGCTGTTTTCCACTCATCTCCACTAGCCACCCTGAGGAGGTTGAATGCGGATTTTAAGTCGATTTTCGAGAAAACACTGCATCCTCGTATCACTTTGAGCAGGTCATTGACTAGAGGCAGTGGGTAGCGGTTTCTCCTTGTAATCGAGTTCAAACCCCGGTAGTCCACACAAAGTCGCAATGAACCATTCGACTTCTTAACGAACAATATCAGTGATGCTGCAGACGATGTTGAAGGACAAATAAACCCTTTGGCCAGGTTGTCAGAGAGGTAAGTTCGCAAGACATCCCTCTCCTTATCTGTCAAAGCGTATATTGGCCCAAAAGGGGGATTCTTCCCATGTTCCAGCTCGATTTTGATATCATGAGGTCGGTGTGGTGGAAGCTCAGTTGCCTCTTTATCCACAAAGACATCCAGGAACCTATGGTATTTAGGAGGCACTTTAACAGCAACTGACTCACGTGAAGTATCGGCAACCAATGGCCCAGGAGACCCTACACTTGAGGTGCAGGCAAAACTTGGAGCAGGGGAGAAACTGAGAAGACCCATGTGGGAAACATCCTTAATCCATAGGAACTTGTGCACTGAGAGCACTGCGATATCTAGCAAATTAGTTTTTTCCTGAGATTGAGAACTTTTTTCCTGAGATGTTACCGTTGTGAACCCAGAACCCATGCAACCTGAGTCACAGCAAGAAAACTGCATGGAACCAGACTTCCAATTTATGTCCGGGTTATGCCTTCGAAGCCAATTGATGCCCATTAATAAGTCCCAAGGCATCTTGACAATGCCAAATGTCTTGAATTCCGAATGATCCCCAATTGTAACATTGAGAATCACAGCATGAGAAATTGAGCCTTTAGAGAGTGGATTGCCATCTAAACCCCGAATAGGAATGGCAGGCCTGATGGGAACACGATTTAGCTGATGTTTCATGACGTACGTTTCTGATACCAAAGAGGACTGTGAGCCGCTGTCGACCATAGCACCTGCAAGAAAAGCTTTTCTATTCGGTACACGGACTGTAGTGTCACATAACAAATGTTCCGCTGCTAATAACCCAACAACTTCTGGGACAGACCCTCCAGACATCCATGTATCATCCATCAATCAACTATCCTGTGTTATAACCCCAGCAACACCCCCAGATGTATGGCCCCTTACATCTGAGGTGGGACTTTTCCTGCATCAGGATCATGCAAAGAGTCAAGGCTTGCTGCTGCCGTCATGGTGGTCCTTTTTCCAGGGCTACGGCTGGTCTGGACATTGGAAGTCTTCTTGAGACAGTTCGCTGCCACATGGTTTGGCTGGCCACAGTAGAGACAGAGGTTTTCTCGGCGTCGGCGTTCCTTTTTCATCTTGTGTGAGATGGGAATGGGGCGTGCCAGGACGGGGCATATCTTGACTGAAGTTAGTATTCATCCTAACGGCATCGACTTCCATAGGTGCTGGCCTGTTCACAGGCGCCTTAGCCTCCACCAAAGGCTTCGAGCCATAGTCCAAGATATCGAGCATATCAGTCCTGGTCTTCTTTCGCATGTTCATCTTGAACAAACGCATGTCAATCTTGATAGACTTGGCTACCAGGACATCCAGAGTGTTGGGGACATCAGTCACCATATATCGTTGGATTGCAACATGGAGCCCGTCAAAATAGATGGAACGCATATCATAGTCGGAATGTTGACAGTCAACAAGAATACGTTTGAACTCGGCAGCATAATCTGCTGCTTTGCCAATAACGGTGTGCCTGAGATTGCACAGCTTCCTATGGGCAGTTTCAACATAGTCTACATCGCCAAAATGTTTCTCGAAAGCGCCCTTCAGATTCGTGTAAGACTGTAGAAGAGCCTGATCGGAGCGAGTGACTCCCATAAACCATTTGGACGTGGTCTCATTTTTAAGCCATGCTCCAAAGAACGTGGTTTTAGCAAACTCGTTGTTGAACTGGTTAAAAAGGGTGAAGCATGATTCGATCTCGGCGATATAGGATGGGACACCGGACGGTTTTCCAGTGAAAGCGGATGGGTCTGGGAACTTAGCTGTAGGCGTGTGCATGGCTGAGACAACGGGTACATTAGCCGTAGGGGGGATCGGTGCTGCTGCAGCAGCCATGTTCTGAAGGTGAATCTGAAAGGTTTCCATCATAGCCTGCTGCTCTTGCTGTTGCGCCTGGATCGCGGCCATCAGGTCCTGATGTTGAACCATTTGTTGATGCAAGAGATTCATCATGACCTCCGGGGTAAACGTGGCTGGGCCTTCGCCTGGGACAGGGGTAGACCCCATAGAAGAGTCCGAGAACGACATAGCTTCTGGAAGTTTGTGTAGAACTGGTCAAACTGTTACAGGCCTCATGGAGCTAGGACTTAGGATCAAACAAGATGGAAGCAAGAGAGCTCAGATCACAAGAACAAAACTAGGAGCCGAAGTCAAATTGAGGCGGGTAACCTGCATTGACCAGTTAAGGGACTACTCCTTACTGGTCAACCACATTATATACACATCGTGTAACAGTTCTGACTAGGCAAATGTGGTCCACTTATAAACTAGGCTGGATTATCGGGTGAGATGCTTGGGTCCGGACTAGATCCATCGGTGTTACATCGAACTGTAACATGCTCATCAAGTTAGGCATCGTGATGATTAGATCCTTGGCTGCGGGTTTGAGGTGTCTGCCCACTAAT